ATGGAATGCCTTTTGGGAGCGCCCCATATGGGGGACCGGCTCAGGGGGAAGCATCGAGCTTGAATCGGCGATACATTGCTGATGGGTCGGCGACACACCGCCGATTGCGAAAGCGCGCTTTCTTGGGTGGCCATCGGGCACATGTCGGCGACGAATGCGATTGAAACCTCAATGGGAAGAAAATCGGGTGAGGGTAGCGGTATGGGTGATTCTTTTTCTCTAATATTTGCTTTAACGAAACGCAGCAAACTGATCAGAGACAGCGGGCTCGACGAAACGTTCGCCGGTGACCGAAACGGCTCCCTGGCACGAGCGGCCAAAGCCGCGCGCCCTACACACGCCGTGCCACACTCGTGCGCTTCGCTCGGGCATCACGCCCCGAAGGCATGGATGAGCACAGCATGAATGGTCGCTTCCAGGGACCCTCGCGGTAGCCCTAGAGAGATAGAGAAACAGAGACCGATATATATATATATAACATAGAGAGAGAGAGGGAGAGAGAGAGAGAGAGAGAGAGAGACACAGAGACGAAAAACACGTTTCGCGCCATGCGCCTTGTTCTGGACGCTTCCCTGGCAAAGCAATGCATCATCGTTTGCTTCAGCAGGGGAGACCTCGAGGCCTGGACGGGCGACCGAGTAATTTTCTGTTATCCCTGGTGCCTGCTGACACCGCGTTCGCCCGATGCGCTTGCACGCTTGTGCGCAGCAGTGGGGAAATAATGATGATTCGTTCCTGCGCGAAGGTCCTCCAAGGTTTATCCCTACCCACCCCTTCCTCCTCTTTCCTCCTCTTCTGCCTCCTCCGGTGGTTGGATCCATCCTTGGAGGAAGTAAGGAGCGTTCCCATGACACGCCGAAGAAGTCGCAGTAGCTCCGAACAAAACGATTTTTGGTCGCTTCGTGAATACCTAGAGGGCTCCGGGCACTCAGGAAATCTTCGATCGTCGAACTTCGAATCTAGATCCATTGCCTGTCTCTCTCTCGATCGAAAAATCTAAACCTCAAGCCCCCAGCGTGGAATATCTTCGGGTCAGCTCGATGTACTTCGTAGGAGGACGCCGTCTGGGCGTTTTGGGGGCTCTTTTGGGTCGTCCTGATGCCCTCTTGGCCCGTCCTGGGGCCTTGGGGCCCTACAGAGGTCTTCTGACGCCATCTAGGGCCCTCTTGGGGGCCTCCAATAGACTTCTTGGGGGTCTCCCATGGCTTTCGTGGGTCTCTCTTGGAAGCCTGCTGGGGGTATCTTGGGCTTCTTGTGGCCATTCTCGGGGCTCTCCGGGGCAATTTTGAGGCCCCCTTCCGCCATCTTCAAATCCTCTGGGGAGCCTCTTGGGCCGCCTTGGGGCGATATCGGGGGCCCATCGGGCCGTCTTGGACGCTGCGAAGACCGAAACAGCGAAGATGCTAAAAATAAGCATTTTCCCAAGGGATTGTGACGATGTTTGCTTTTCCGGGGCTCTCTTAACGGCCTCTTGGGGCGTCTTGGGGGCCTCTTGGGCCGTCTTCAGACTATCGAGGTTCCTCTTGAAGCGCTCTTGTGCTGTCTTGGGTCTCTCTTGCGCCTTCCCGGTGACCCCTCTGATCGCCTTGAGTCGGCTCGCAAGGCCCCGCAAGGCGCCCTGGCAGGCCTGGAAGGGCCAAGAGCGTCCGGGGCGTCCCACCGGGGGGGTATCCGGTTTGGGGTCGGGGGGGGGGGCCCGGTAACAAAAAAATTAAAATATGAATATATGGACAGAGAGAGAAAGGGAGACCAACAACAGCAGCAGCAACAACAACACAAACAACACAAACCACAACAACAACAAAAACAACAAAAACAACAACAACCACAACAACAACAACAACAACAGCAGCAGCAGCAACAACAACAACAACCACGCCAGCAACAACATCAACAACAACGACAACACCAGCGACAACCACAACAACAGCAGCAACAACACCAACAACAACAACAACACCAACACCAACAACAACAACAACAACAACAACAACAGTAGCAACAACAACAACACCAGCAACCACAACAACAACAACAGCAACAACAACACCACCAACAGCAACAACAACAACAGCAACAACAACAACAACGACAACAACAGCAACAACCACAACAACAACAGCAGCAGCAACAACAACAATAATAGCAGCAACAACAACAACACCACCAGCAACCACAACAACAAAAACAACAACAACAACAGCAACAACAACAACAACAACAACAACAACAAACATCAACAACCTCAACAACAACACCAACAACAACAATCATGTTAAGGCTGCTCGCCCTTATCTGCTGCTGCTCGAGTGTCCAATAACGCGTATTTCCCAAACCCTCGATACACGCCCTCTTCGTCTTCGATCGAACCAATTTTGGGGGGTATACTTTCCTTCCCTGCAGTCCGGGCCCCGGCAAGCGGCGGGGCGGCCGCGGACCGTCAGCCTGGCCAGCGGCAGCGCTGATCGGCGGGGCGGCCGCGGACCGTCGACCCGACCCCAAGAGGGACGGACAGGGGATCGACCACGACGACGACGACGACGACGTCGACGACGACGACGACGACGACGACGGCGGCGGCGACGACGACGAGCGAAAGCGAAAGCGAGAGAGAACGACCGCAGGGCCACAAGGACACGAAGTAGGCCACGAAGGGCGACAGCGGGGACAAGAAGGGAATGCGTATAGGGCCACGAAGAGCGCGAACAAACGGGAACCACGACGGGGAGATAATGCGGGGCCACAGAAGGCAACGATGGGGCCACTGAGGGCAGCAACTGGGCCACGTTGGACAGTGAGGGGGCCACAAACGGCGACAGCGGGGCCACGAAGGGCATGCACTTGGGGCCACAACGGCGCGAACGAGCGGGGGCCACGAAGGGCATACGTATACTGGGCCGCGGAAGGCAAAGACGGGGCCACTGAGGGCAGCAACAGGGCCACGAAGGGCAGCGAGGGGGCCACGAAAGGCGACAGCGGAGCCACAGAGGGCAGGCCAGGCATATGGGGCCACCACGGGCGCAAACGAGCGAAGGCCACGAAAGGCATACATATATGGGGCCACGAAGGGCAGCGAGAGGGCCACGAAGGGATGCAACGGGGCCACAAATGGCAGCGAGGTGGCCACGACGGGCTGCAACCACGAAAAAAAGCGAGGGGGCCACGAAGGACTGCAACGGGGCCACGAAGGGCAACGAGGGGGCCACGAAGGGCTGCAACGGGGCCACGAAACAAATCGAGGGGGCCACAAAGGGCTGCAACGGCAGCGAGATCCCGATTCCTAGGTAATCTGTGGGGGAGTCCAAAGCGTGAGCGCGACTCCTGGGTGCCTGGGTGTCGGGAGCGCGGCGCTTGAGTAAATTGCAAGAAATTCGAACGCAAGGGCGCTATTCTTCTGTATATTGCAAGCTAGTCTCCAACGAGAGCGCGACTCCAGAGCGCCGGGAGAGCGATTCCTGAGTAAATTGTAAGAGGTCCCCAGCGAGAGCGCGATTCCTGAAGAAAATGCGAGGAAGTCTCGGGCGTGAGCGGGGGTCCTGGCTAAATTGTAAGGAAGTCTCAAGCGGAAGCCGTTGCTGTTGTTGTTGTTGTAACCCTGGGGCCAGGGGCCCAGTTTGAGACTCAAGACTTTCCCTGACAAAAAATAGGGTGCGAGCGTCGAGGGGCACACTTTGATGGAGAAAAAACAGTATGCACCGGTGGGGGGGGTCAACAATAGTTATTCTTCCGAATTGAGAATTCCATAACAACAATAGCCACAAGCATTTCAAGATTTTGGAACTGTTCGCTCCTGCTGGCACGCGTGTCTTGCATTCCGTATACGTGAAACCTCGATGCCCGCCCACTTCGTCTTCGATTGCGCCCCCTTTCGGGGGGAATCTCTTCCTCGTCGGCCACTGACTGAAGTGCAAAGAAGTCTCGAGAGAGAGCGCCGAAGCCCTTGTCGCCGTGTCTGGGCCTCCACCACCGTGCCTGAATTGCGGGAAAGTCTCGAGCGAGAGCGCCGTTCCTGAGTTCGGGGGCCTTCTTGGCCAGAGGCTCTCGGAGTAAATCGTGAGGAAATCTCGAGCGGGAGCCCTTGTCGTCGCGACTGGGCCTCCGCCAACTCAATTGAATTGCGAGCAAGTCTCGAGCGGGAACCGTGAGGAAGTATCGAGCGGGAGCCGTTGTTGTCGTAGCTGGGCCTCCAAGGGCCCACAATTAGGCTCAAGCCAACGCTCGAGCCGGAGCCTCGTTTTCAGAGAACATGCAGCCAGCGTCGAGGCGCGAACGCGCGGAACCGTTTCCGGAGATCAACAATGAGTATTCACTAGCACTAGAAATTAATATCCAACAACAACCACAACAACAAACACAAGCACATAAAGAGAGAGAGAGAGATAATGATATTGAAGAGAGAGAGAGAGAGAGAGAGAGACAGAAAGAGAGAAAGAAATAACAACAAAAAAGGAGAGGGAGAGAAAGAGAGAGGGAGACATGTGTATCCTCCTCCGAGGAGGAGGAAGCAGAGGAAACAGGACCAGGAGCTCCTCCACAGTCGCCCGCGGGAGCGCGCCAGGGTCAGGACGAGCGCCCGACACTCAATTTGCGACGGGCGAGCCCATGACCAGCGCGTGGCTTGCTGCTCCCGCGGTTCCCTCCCGCCCTCCCTCCTGCTCCCTCCGCCGTCTGGTTCCCTGCCCCCACCTCCCTCCCTCCCTTCCTCCTTCCATACTGCCTCCCGCCCCTCACCCCTCCCGCACGAATCCCTCCTGTTGTCCTGGTCCGTCCCATCATCCTCCACCTGCTCCTTCCGCACAACGCCTCCCCGCCTCCCTCGTGTCTCGTAATGTTCTCTCCGCCTTCTTCTGACCCTTGAAGTCCACCTCTTTCTATCCCTCCTTGTTCCTCCTCCTCCTCACCCCTCCCCCCTTGATGTTCCTCTCCCCCTGCGTCCCCCTGCCTTCCTGCTCCCGCCTCTCTCACACTGCTCCTCCACAGCTCCGTCGTCCCTGCCTCCTCGCCCTCCCTCTTCTCCTCGCGGAAGACGCGAAGCCTGCGCCCGTGTGGCAGTAATTACGGGCGTTGGGCGACTGCGAAGACGATCGAGGCGCTGACCTGATCACACTATCCGCCACCGTGCCCTTCGGCAAGGGGTGGGCGTGTCCTCGAGTCCTGTGCCTACTCCTGCAGGTGCTTACCGTGGTGGCCAGTCCACTAGACGCCTCCCACAAGAAACCCGACCCCAAGACCCCAGGGCGCCCATGGATTCTTGGCGTGGGAACGTCACGCTCTCCATCGCAGAACCATCGAAACTCGAGAAAAAACCAGGGCACCCTGGAGGCAAGCAGGGTGTGCCTTGGCCTGGGCCTCCACTGCAAAGGGGCCCGGGCCCCAGGCTGCCGACTCTCCCAGGGCCTGCCGCGTGCCTCTTGCCGCGGAGCCAGCAGGGGGCCCCAGAAGGGCCCGGAGGGCCGCAGGAGGCCCGTCCAGGCGGCCCAAGAGGCCGAAAGATCCCCCCCAAACGCCCAGGATGGCTTCAAGCCTGTCCAAGATGCGATGCCCCCTCAGACGGCTCACGGGAGCCCGAAGAGGCCTCCCGATGGGGACCCCAGGAGGCCCAAATGGTTGACTTCCCAGTGGTATCTGGCAGTTTCTGCCCTTCTCGCCTTTTCGGCTTTCCCACGGTCCAAGAAGGCCCTAGAGGCCAAAAATATTGCCAGCAGGTACCCCGAGATGCCCCCTGTAGGCCTCTAGGCCCCCAAGATGGCCCAAGCGGTTCCCAAGACGGCCCAAGAGGCAGGCGTCCAAGAGGCCCAAACATGGCCCCAAGAGGAGCGCACGACCACGAAACGAACATTCGAATCTTCGGCCTCTACCAAGGCCCAGGAGACTCCAAGAGGCGCTCAAGAGGCTCCAAGAGGCCCAAAGAGGCCTCAAGAGACCCCAAAACGACCCCAAGGTGCCACACAACTGCTTCCAAGAAGCTCCCGAGAGGCCTCGAACGAGAACCGAACTGACGTCCACGAAAACTCAGACCCACGACCCAGGCACAGTGGCGGGATGGGCCGAAGGCCACTAGATCCGCCGCCCCCTGTCGATTCATCGCAAGGGTGCTGGGCGTGCCGAATGATATGGCTTTTGGTTTTGGTTTTTTTCCAAAGAACCCCCCTTTGGGCTTCGGCCCGTCCCGCCGGCCACCCGGAAAGGTGTTCAATCCGGAAACAAATCCTCTAAGATGGCTCGCGATGGCCTCCAAGATGGCCACGTTGGGCCAAGATGGCCTACAAAATGGTCCAAGATGGCCTCCAAGACGGCCCAAGAGAGGAGGAGATGCCTCCAAGTCCGCCCAAGAAACCTCCAGACGGCCCAAGACGGCCCAAGAGGTGTCCAAGAGGCCTCCAAGACGGCCCAAGAGGCCTCCGAGAGGTCCTCCAGGAGGGCCTGCAGAGGCGAACATCATTGATTTTCCTTTGGTTTTCAAACTGTTGTTCGTCTTTGCTCCTTTTCGGCTTTCCGACGACCCAAGACGGCCCAAGAGCCCCCAAAAATCGCCCCCAGAGCGCCCAAGAGGCCTCCAAGATGGCCTCAGGACTGCCCCAGAGGCCTCAAAGACGGCCCCAAGAGGGCACAACGACGACCCAAGATGCCTCCAAGACACCCAAGATGACCTCTAAGACGGCCCTGGAGCACCCCAAGAGGGCCCCAAGTCGGCCCAGAGAGGCCCCCAAACGGCTTCCGACGGCATCAAACGGGCCAGGAGCCCACCAAGATTGCCTAAGTTGGCTCGAAGCTGGCCCAAGACGGCCCAAGAGGCCTCCAAGAGGGCCTCCAGGAAGGCAAGAACAGGCTAAAAACCCTGAGGTTCCATAGATGTTCGAAGGATTGTGACATTTGCTTCGTTTCGGCCTTCCGACGGCCCGAGACGGCCCAAGAGCCCCCAAAGATCGCCCAAGGATCGCTCAAGAGGCCTCCAAGATGGCCCCAAGACGGCCCAATAGGCCCCCAAGGCGGCCCCAAGAGGCCCCCAAGACGGCCCAGGAGGCTTTTAAGACGCCCAAGATGGCCTCCAAGACGGCCCTGGAGCATTCCAAGAGGGCCCCAAGTCGGCCCAGAGAGGCTCCCCAAACGGCTTCGATGGCGTCGGACGGGCCAGGGGCCCACCAAGACGGCCGAAGATGGCACTAAGATGGCCCTAGACGGCCCAAGAGGCCTCCAAGAGGGCCCCGAGGAAGGCCCGAAAAGGCCCAAATCATTGATGTCCCATGAGTTTTTGATGGATTGTGGCATGTGCTTTCTGTCGGCCTTCCGACGGCCCGAGACGGCCCAATGCCCCCAAAGATCGCCCAAGAGGCCCAAGACGGCCTCAAGAGACCCTCAAGACGGCCGAAGAGGCCTCCAAGACGCTCAAGATGGCCTCCAAGACGGCCCAATAGCCCTCCAAAACGTCCTCCAAGAAGGCCCGAAAAGGGTCAAAATGGCCTCCAGGCGGCCAAGATGACCTTCAAGATGCCCACGTATTCCCCGAAGGTTTTCCAAACGTATTCGGGGAACACATGGTCCGATAGCTTGGCAGGTCTGGCCTCAACGTTCGGCCACACAGGCGCGTCCACAAAGGCAGAGACGCGGTGATTCGCCGTAGGCGTCTTCGATGATGAAGACAAGCAATCTGACTTCACCATGCGACGTGCAATATCTGCGGCTCGACGGCCACTTCAACAAACTGTGCCTGAATTCTTCTGGGGCCAAGCATCAGAATAGCGGAATCGAGAATACGGAATCGTACTCCTCCAGCTCAGACTAATCCCGGCTGTCGTTGGTGCCAGGAGGAGGGAGGACAACGAATAGAGGCCTCCTAGATGGGGTCGGAACAAATGGGGTCGGAGGATCTCGCCACATCACCGATACATCGTCGATGCATCGGCGATGTATCGGCGATGCATCGGCCATGCACTGTCGACGTCGGCGATGCATCGGCGACGTCGTCGTGGAGAAAGTAGTGCCCCACATCGAGCCGCATCTCCGATGCATAGCCGACGCATCGCCGAATCGGCGCGATCCTCCGACCTTATCCACTCCAACCCCATCAAGGAGGCCTAGAACGAACTGCCGCAGAATAACAGCCACGACAGGGAACACGAAGCGGCTCTGTCAGCAAACTGACTGAGAGAAGCGGACGGCTTGCACATGCGCGTGCACGTTCGCTCCCCCAGCATGTGAGCGCAGCGCCCGATGAGTGCTGAGCTGGCGTCCAAACAAGAGGAGAAAGGAGGAGGAGGACCAGTGTAAACCCAAGAGCGATCAAAGATGTTGGAATACATCCTCCCTCCAAACTCCCTCTTCATAGGCTCCTACAATGGTTCGTTTCTGCTGAGGGATCTGCCTCGTTGGAAGACAACCGTTTGAAGACCCTGAAGCATGCATGCCAAAGCATTGTTCTCGCGATTCTAACGCCACGAAGAAATCTGACTGTTGCGTCTTGACGATCCTGGATCGTGCTAGAACACCAGCCTTTGGATTTCAACGCCGCGAATCAACTTATCAGTTGCACCCTCCAAATCCTGAATCCTGTCAAAGCACTATTTCTAGTACGTTGATCGTGTGAGTCCGTGAAGCTCTTGCAAGATTATACACGAATGTGCGCGGCGCCAAGGAAAGAACCACAATTTGAAAAGGAGCCACCCTCAATCCGTGAAACTCTTGCAATTGCTTGCAGCGAATATGCGCGGTGCTACAGCGAGAGTCACATTTTGAAAACGGGTGATCATCAATCCGTGAAGCTCTTGCAATGTTTTAGAACGAATGTGCGCGGCGCTAATGCGAGAGCCACATTTTGAAAACGGGCGATCCTCAATCCGTGAACCTCTTGCAAATACAAAATGAATGTGCGCGGCGCTAATGCGAGAACCACATTCTGAAAACGGCCCGCCCTCCATCCGTGAAGCTGTTGACAATTTGTGAGCTTCAAAAGCATAAATGGTGAGGAAGTCTCAGGCGAAACGCCCGGCCCGCCATAAAAACTGGCCTCGGGGTGCGACAGGGAGAAACTATTCATAAGAAAAAGGAATGGAGGAGAGGGAGGAGGAGGAGGAGGAGGCGGAGGAGGTAGAGGAGGAGGAGGAGGAGGAGACGAGGAGGAGAGCGGAGGAGGAGGAGGAGGAGGCGGAGGAGGAGGTGGGAGGAGGACGGGGAGGAGTCCTACGACTACCATAGAAGCTACGCCATATCGTCCACCAGTGCTGCCGGGACCACCAATGTCAATGTCCAAACTCGCTCGGTGCGCAGGGAACTCGCGCACCCCAAAGACAGACCGGGGCATCGCCAACGCCGGCCGTGTCTCAGCTCTAGGAAGAAAATTCGAGAAGCGGAGGAAGCTATGTATGAATGCCCTGGGCGCTGCTTGCAACGATGGGCGCGCACGACAAGATGCTGTGGCAATTCTCTGACAGTCATGCGGTCGAACCCCAACATTAGCATCCCATGAGCCTAGCGAGAGCCGCGTCGCAAGGCAGACGACTGCACTTGAAACCAGCATCGAGGCTTGGAGGCGATCAAGGGGTCTGAGCTGGATGGGCCCAGAGACATTCTGTCAAGGCGGTGGGGCATCCGCTCAAAACCGGTACCCGGCCCCCTCCCGATGTCCATCTGGTGCAAGCGCTCACCCTGCAATCCGTGCTTGATGGGCCCGACAGCGGCCCCCGGAGATCGAAAGAGGCAAAAAGTCCGGATCGAACCCGGAACCTCGAACCTCCCTCCCTTTCTCGGGGGCTCAGAGATTGGGTCCCGAGAGATGGGGTCCTAAGGACGAGGTCCCTTCAACGACGTAAGGTCACCTTTGGATCCCTTCCTATCCTCACCCATCCCTCAGGACCCCGTCTTTGAACCTCCCTCCCTCTTCTTGCTGGCCGGAACCTGTGCTGGGCCTCCTCGGACCCCTCGCCGGCCACACCTGGAGGCCGCAGGCCTAGAGCACGTGGCACGCCAGCGCGCACAGCAGGCCTGCGCAGCGCACCCCGCTGGGTGCTCCTCTCGGGAGGGAAAAAACCACAGACACAATTCATCGTCGACTCCCTGGAAGGTATGGGAAATCACATGTGGGAAGTGGGGGAAGGCAAAAACCCAGAAAACGTGGGAAAAGATAGGGGGGTCCTGCTATTTGTGTGTATTTATTTGCGTGTCCTTGGGCCCCTTCATCCTCCGGCCGCGCGGTGCCGCTCGGAAGCTGCGGCGACGGTGTCGCCGGTGCTCCCGGCGTGCCCAGCGGCGACCTGGGCACCTGCGGCCTGCCTCGACAGCACACCCACTTCACACGCGCAGTCGCCCTGCGCGTCGTCGTGCAGCGTGCAGGAGCCTGCGTACTCCTCCTCTGGAGGACGGAGAAGGTGCGTTCGTTTTTTATACTGAAAATCGACGCCTAGCCTGTACCACTCGGGTTGCACCACAGAGCATGCTTCACATAGCTTCCACCACATAGCTTGCACCACGTGGAATGACATAGCCTGCACCACATACACTGCACCACAAAGCTTGCATCAACTCGTACGCGACAGCCACTGCTCGGGGCCCGCGCTGGCTGACATAGTCTCTTGCTTTATGGACACCCATCGTAATCAATCTGTCGGCAGACTGGCGGCAGACAGCGGCAAATCGCGCCGAACAGCGGACAGCGGCACACGCCGAGCGCCCACCGTCCACAACTCCCCTCCCCTTCGCCGCTGGAGGCCTGCCGGACGCACAGGCCGCCTGGTGCATTTTCCAGGCCGGCATGAAGACACACACACACACAAACCGACGTGAGAGAAGTGCGCACGCGAGCCGACCCTGGACGGTGGCCCATCCCGGGCTCAGGATCCGTGCCGTGCGCCTCCCCTGGCTCGGCCAGGGAGGCGTGTGCACGGCTCCGGGGCCCAGGGTGGGCCTGGACGGGATCTGTGTGTGCTGCTGCTCTCTCATACAGTTCGCATGGCTTGTTTTTTGTTTCGGGCAATGGTCAACGACGCCACCGCCAGCGTAGGCAGTGCGAGAAATGGGTTGTCGCGGGCGAGCGATAACCATGTGGGCCCCTAGCAAAATCGCAGTGACGCACAAAAAACACTTAGTGGCTCACCAGAAACACCGTTGCAAAAATAAATGTCAACAAATTCCAGATTCTGCACACGGCCTTCAGATGCGGCGCCGTTACCAAGAACGAGTTCGAGGCAATAAAGAGCTTACCCGTATGCTTGTTCCTCGTTGTGACGAAGCCAAAACGAGGATACCCTCAGGTGAAGATGAATCATGAGACTCTGAGCGTTTCGGAATGCCCCGAGAGCGTTTCCGAACGCTCTGGAAAGAATTGACCTTCGTCCCAGCCCCGTTCGAAGCTGGCCTCAACGGGTTCCCGCGTAGTTCGGGGCGGTCTCAAGGTCCCAACCATGGGGTGCCAAGAATTCGCCTCCTTGAGAAGACTGGCGACTGCTCCCTGGAGGGTACGTCGCGGAAGAGCAGGCCATTACCGGAAAGACAGCCGAACTCACATCCAGACACCGTCGTCCTCCGCCCCCTCTGCGAGGGCAGCCAGGATAGAGAAAGCGGCAGAGGAGGGACTTTGGGACCGGCCCCCCGTCGCGGGCCCTGGTCAGAGTGATGGAAGCTCTGTCCTCCAGGGTGACGAAATTCCTCTTCGAGAGGTGCCGTTGCCCCCCCCTCGTAGTTTCGACTTGCGAGTGTCTTCCCCTCGGGGCTGTCCTAACCCGACCTCGTCCTAGCCCCTTCCGACGCCGCCCCATCCTCGAGGCCCTTGAGCACTGCGGCGCCCACGCAGTCAAGCGCCCCGTCGATAGCATCGACGGCGTGCCTGCACGAGCCCTCGAGCGCCTCGCTGGTGGCCGGCCTGGCGCTCGCCCAGAAGTCCAGCCCAGGCTCGGGGCCGGCGGGCTCCACCAGACCGCCCCCGAACTCGTCCTCGAGGTCCCGCATGACCTGGGCCCGGACATCCGGCGTCTCCAGGCGGAGGTTGTCGGCCATTCTGGGCCTCTCGGGGCCCCCAACCCGGGCCTCGGGACCGTCAAACGACGGCTCGGGATGAAGAACTGGTCCTGGGGCAGTGGTCGAGAGGTCGATCGCGGGCCCGCGTATCCAAAAAAATCGAGACGCCGCATGCCTGGGAGCTTAGCTGCCCCGGTACGCAAAACGCAGCACGTAGCGTGTTGACGCGGAGCTCAAGACGTAATCAGACGGTTGCTGCAAGCGTAGGTCTGGCGCGAAACGTTCGCCCAAAACGCGGACCGACGCGTGCCGAGCCAACACGTCGCGTGTGCACCCGGACGTTTTGCACACGGCACGCGCTGCGCTTTGGGGCGCAGCGGGGCAGCTGAGGACCTGGGCGCTCTGGGCGTCCACGGCGCTCTCGCAGAGGGCGCGGAGCTCCAGGTCGCACTGGCGCCCCACCCGCTCCAGGAAGGCCTCGACGTCGGCGCCCGGGTCCTGGCCGCTCCAGCGCCGCGCAGGAGCCGCCCGCAGGGCCTCGGGGTCGCGCCAGATCTGCGCCCGAAGGCCCTCGAGGCCGACCCTCGGGCCCAGGGGAGGCCGAGGCCTCGCCTCACCCTTCAGGGGGAGCGCTTCGGCGGCGAGCCTGGGGGGGACGCGAGAGGGGGCGGGCCTTCCCAGAAGGCTCGGAAGTCCCCCGGCCTTCTGAGAAGATTCCCCAGCCGTCCCCGGAGACGCAGAAGACTTCTCAGAGGGCGCGAGGGCTGCCGAGAAGTCCCGCCGCCTTCCTAGAGGGTCTTCTCCTTCTCACTTCACCCCCTCGTTCGCCGCCGAACGTTGAGAATGGGAGGAGGGGCAGCTCAGGGGGTGGAAAGCATCGTCCACCTGGGATCGGCGACGCGTCGCCCGATAGGCCCTCGAGGATGGCGAAACCGCACGGCCCTCGGCGGGGTCGGCTGTCGGGCACCTGCTGGCGATCCGTGGGCGATTGGGGGGTCGACGCATCCCCACGCCAATCCACCCCTGTCCCCGCGGGGTCTCAAGCCACAACACGGGCCTCCGGCGGCCCTTCGAGACGATCGGGGCACCCCTGGATCGCTTTCGGCGAGGCGCAGTTGCTGGAGAGCCCCCTGAGACTGGAGAACCGCCGAGAACTGACCGAAGCATAGGAGAACCTCCAACCTTGAGCCGATCTCCCCCCTACGATTCATGCAACATCGATCACCTCGCCCCTCCGAGGGATTTTTCGGTGTCGGCGGCGGCGCCTCACCTAACCCCAGGGGTGGACAGAACGTCTTTGGCAAAGCGCCCTTTAGTGAAAGCTGCCAGGGACACTCCGCGTGCGCACGGCACCGCATTCCGAGTGCTCCCCAGCGGGGCAGCCAATCGACTTCCCAAAACAAGCGAATTTGATCCGACGAAACGCACGTCGACTAGCGACACCGACTGGGGACTGCACCAGCACAATCGAACGCCAATGCCGAGTGCTCCCGTGCACATTTCCTCAGTTCACCTGTCTGGGGGGCGCTCTGTCAATGCCCGAACACCGCACGCAATCTCTCCAGCGAGCAGGCGACCAGAGGCTCTGAACTGGCTACCCCAGAAAATCGGTCCGTAGGGGGGCATGAAGCCAAATCCTCGCAAAACCGGTCTTCGGACCCCTCCTGGGGTCCATCTGGTGCAGTCTTCCACCCCAGATCCGTTCTCCCCTGCCCCGAGGCCCGGCGACGAACGGCCGCTGGAGGCCGAGTAAAAAAGGCAGGGCGCCTGCTCAGACCCAGCGGGACGGGAAAATGACCACAGCCACTGCTTCTTGTTTGCGCCGCCTTCCAGCCGGCCGAAAAAGAAGCAGTGGTTGTGGTCATTTCCCTGGTGCCAAGCTCAACGAAAATGACCACAACCACTGCTTTGTTTCTGCGGGCTGGAAGGCGGCAACAAAAGAAGAGCAGTGGCTGTGGTCGTTTTCACGCCCCGTACCCCCCCCCCCTCCTGCTGGCCCGCACCGGTGCTGGGCCACCTCGGACCCCCCGACGGCCCCAACGCTCTGCCGCTGCCCGAGCACCGCGCGCTGCCTCTCCAACCCCCCGCCGTAACTCAAGGGGCACAGGGACACACACGCACATATATATATATATATATATATATATATATATAACTACACACAAATAACAGGATTCCCCATATTTTCAAATCTTTTCCTGGGTTTTTGTCTTCCCCCCCACTTCCCATATTTTCCCACATGATCCGGGGAGAATCGACGACTGCTTGTGCCTGTGTGCTTCGTCCCCTCTGGAGCAACGTCGCCCGCGGAGCCTGCCCCTGCCCCTCGGGGAGCGGGGCGCCAGCGCCGCCGCCGAGCGGGCCCGGCCCCTTCGGCACAGCGGCCCGCCGCGGAGGGGCGCCACGCGCGCCGAGCGCCCGGAGGAGCTCGGCGGCAAGTCATGGGCGTGCCGGCTCGGGCGCTGGCCTCCTGACACCGCGGGGATCCTTCAACCTGGAGCGATTGGCCGCTTCCGAGACGCCCGATCGTTCGACCGATTCTGGGTCGCCGGCGGCGTTCGACGTTGAACGCCCGAGCTGGGGTCGCCGCCGGTCGACACAACAAGAGCCGACCCTATACCCTTGCAACTTCGTCTTTTGAAAGTTTCATCGCGCGCTAGCGTCTGGTAATCGATGAGAGGGCTCCGTTCTAGGGTCGACTGGCGTCGTTTGGCGTCGACTGGAGTCGATTCGCGTGGATTCGCAAGAGCCAGCAAGATGGCATGTAAGGGGCAATGATAGGGGGGGGACAGGCATAGGTGGGGATGCATCGACGTGGAATCGGCGATGCATCGTCAACAGATCGGCGATAGGCCCCCGATAGTGAATCCCCACCTTCCTGGACGGGGTGGGGCTATCGGGCCCCCATCGGCGATCAATGGGCGATTGGGGGTCGATGCATCCCCCCGAAGCCCATCCCCCCCCCCCCCTACCGCTGCCCCCGAGCATGGGAGGCCCCTGTGAGTTGCCGCCGAAGAGGGCCAGGGCCAGCGCGCACAGCGCAGCGGCCGCTGCCGCCGAGCTGGCGAGGCCTGGCCGGCGGCGCCCACGAGGGGGGCGGCGCGGCCCCGACTTCGGATCCGTCGTACTTCGAAGACCAGCCAGCCTCGAACTGATCCCTATCCCTAAGATAGGGCGAAGAGAAAACGACGGCGATCCTAGGGAACAGCCCTCAGAAACCGAGGGGATCCTGAGGATCGGCATCAAGGTGAGGTGGTGACGCCAAACCTAGGGATAGGGATACGCTTCAAGCTGGTACAAGACCCCCTCGGGTCATGGAAAAGTCAAGGCGGGAGGTTTCTCCCAGTTCTTCGCCTCTAGGAGCCCTTGACGGCCCTCGGGGCCGTCAAAAAACAGCTCGGGATGAAAAGCCGGTCCTGGGGAAGGGGTCCGACCGTTGGGGGTCCACATCGAAACACATGTGTGTTTCGCCAATTTTCCGAATCTGTGCCGGGTCCGTCGGAAATCTGTGTTTGGCTTATTTTCCGGCTTACGGTCGCGGCGGCGGACCTGGCGACACGCTACGCCTTGCGAGCGGATAGCGTGTTGCTCCGCTCCGCGGGGTGCGAGGTCGGGAAAAAGCTTGGGACGTTGACGCTGGGACCGGGAAGTGGTTAGCGTGTCGCGTCAAAGCGCGGTGGGCCAGAACTGGCGGAGCGACACGCTAAGCGGAGTTCCTCATTGTGACAGAGATTCGAAAATGCATGCCAAACCACAGTTTGGCGTGCATAGTAATGCGGATATTTCCGTCTCAGAGACTGACGGCGGATATTTCCGCAAAGGTGTGGCGCAGAGGGCAAGGAAATCTGCATCCAAGGAGCTTGGACAGTGGGGCGGATATTCCCGCCCCGCTCACGACATCGCCCAAAGTACAGCTGATCCAGAGTCAGGGAGAGGGGGTGCTCTTCTAAGAAGGCGGGGGAGCTTCACAGAGGGCAGGGGCCTTGTTAGTTAGAGGGGCCAGCCGTCAGAGAAACCTCTGGGGCCCTCTGAATAGACCCCTGGGTTCTGCGGAGCCCCGCCGCCTTGTCAGAAGCGCACCCCCCTCGCGCCACTCGCTTGTGAGCGCCTCCGACCTAGGATTTCCGCCGCGGCCTGCAGGGCCATCGCCGATGCGACAGTGTGTGGTGCCCAGACCCCGCTAGCTCGGAGCATGAACAAAAGCGCGACGGTAGGCGGTAGGTTTCGATTTGTTCGGCCTGCCAAGGGACCTCACCTGGCCCCAGGACCTTGGACGAAAAACCGCTCGGGATGAGAGCGTGGTCCCTGGGGGAAGGGGTGCAGACCTCTGGAGGTCCAAGTCGTAGAACACAAAGCACAACGCCGGGGGTCTGGCTATGGTGGAAGCGTCGGGATTCGGTAAGTGTGTGTGTGTGTGTGTCAGATCTGCCGGCGGCGAGCCGCCGCCAGACCACGCCAAGAACGATTGGCGTATCTGCCTCGCAAAGGCTGGGGCCGAAAATAGCTGTGGAGTAGGACGATGGCAGGATCTCGACCAGCATCGGATCGCGAACGTAGACCGGATCGGAACGAGCATCGAACTGGGCTGCTCCGGCTCGGAGGCGACATCGGATCGAACCAACTGCGCCCAGGCATGCAGCTGTGCTGCGCAAGTCTCGTGCCGCATCGGATCGCCGGGAGACCGAAATCGAATCGGACCGAGCCGGAGGAAGCAGGGATCGAACTGGATCGCTCGGGCCGAACTGGGCCCTACGATGGGTAATGCTTCGGCTGGTACACAAACAGCCGCCCTGGGCCCCAGGTAGCCCTGGCTGGCCTCAACCCCCCCTGGGGCGCGGAGTGCCTCCGGGCGCCGCCTCTGGCGGCGCCCGGGTGTTGAGACCGCTTGGGACTACTTCGTGGGCCTGTCTGGGGGTGGCTGACACCCAGACTCCCGACTTCATGATTTCTTCACAGCGTCGACCCCCAGAGGCCTGGACCCGTTCCCTGGCACTGGTGTTCCGACCTGATCGATCTTGGACGGTCCTGGGCCCCCCGTACGGTCTCCCGGGTGGCGGAAACGACCGAAAAGAAACCCGCCGTGTTTTTTTTTTGTTTTCCACGGCGCGAGCAGGTCTAGGTCCAGAAAGCCTGACCACCCGAAGTCATGAATTTTTCATGACGTCGACCCCCAGCGGTCTGGACCCATTCCCCAGGACTGGTTTTTCGTCCTGAGTCGTTTTTTGACGCTCCCGAGGGCCGGTAAGGGCCCCCGGAGGCCGAAAATCATGAAAAACCTCCAGTCGTGATTTTTTCATGACTCGATGGGGTCTGGGAAGCCTGACCACCCGAGAGGGGGGAGGAGATCTCCGCCGGTCCGGGGCGCCCGCGTCTGTGATCCTCCCCCGAGGCCTGGCGGCGACAGCGGCCCGTGGCGAGGAGGCCGGTCGCCGGGCGGTGGCGCCTCGAGGGCTCCGCGGAGAGGCCCAGTAGCTTGCAAGACCGTGGCGAAAGGCGCGGTAGGAGGAGGAGGAGGAGGAGGAGGAGGAGGAGGAGGAGGAGGAGGAGGAGGAGGAGGAGGAGGAGTCGGAACCTGTCGAACGATGATGTCAATGACGTCACGAACCGCACTTCCTCCTCCTACACCTGAGCAGTGAAGACCTCTCGCGTACGCCGAAGTCCTTCGCCGAGCTCCTTGGCTCCCGACCAAACGACGCGGTGTATACGTCAAGCTCCGCCGAGGGTGGGTCCTCACCCACAGTGGATAGAAAGGCCTGGAGGATCGCGGGGCAAGGATCGCCCGCGCGCCAGCCCCAGACCAAGACGAAGCTAGGACGATGATAAAATCGGGTGAGGACAAATCGAAAATCCCTGAGAACTGGCGGTTCTGGAGGATGTCTCGGGCGCCGCGGCCTTCTCAAAGGGCTCCAGAATGCTCCGAAAGCGTTCCGAAGCGGATTTGTCCTCGTCCTAGCCCCGCCCGGCCTCCTCCTCCTTCAGATTCGGGCGCCTCTTTTTTGCCACACCCGGCGTTGTCGCCCAAGTTCGGGCCCTCGGACCCCCAAAGATCGATCCGGCCTGGACAGATTGGACAAAAAGGTGGGGTCCCGGCCTCCATTCATGATTCTTCACGACTCGGCCTCCTCGCGTCGTGAACAAAATGAAAACAACATCAGCAGCAGCAACTACCTCCTCCTCCTCCTCCTCAGCAGCAGCAGCAGCAGCATCAACAAAAAACAGCAGCATCAATGGGTGTGTATATATATACACATACATATTACACGAAACGTTTATTTCGTGCAGCTCCTCATGCGGGGGAACAGAGGTCGGAAGGAAGGGACAAGGGGGGAGAGGAGGGTGGAGCACGAGGGAGACTAGCACGAGGAGGGCTAGGAACAGAAAACACGTGACAGAATCAGATTGGCAGATCGGGCGGGAAGACTCCAACAGGCGGGTCGGGAAGGCCGGCCCAGGCGGCCAGGTCGAGCAGGCGTGTTGCTGAAGCGTGCGTCCTGCGTGAATCGCAAGGAAATCTCGAGCGATAGCGAGACGTCCAAACAAATTAAAGGAGGTCCAAAGCGTGCACGTGATTCGTGAGTGTCGCAGGCGCGGCGTATAAATAAATCGCGATGAAATACTGATACCACGCGAAAAATGATTCCTGCATCAGTTGCGAGAGAGTCCCGCGCGCGAGCGCGATTTGGAATACATTCTGAGGAAGTATCAGGCGGGAGCCGCTGTTGTTGCAGACCGGAGCCCGCAACACAGTCTCGAGCGGCAGCGCGATTCCTAAACAAGTCGTGCGGGAATTCAAAGCGAGAGCGCGATTCCTGAGTGTCGAGAGCGCGGCGTCTGAATACATTGCGAAGATGTCCCACCTGTAAAATCTGTGAGGATGTCCCGCGCGAGAGCGCGATTTGGGAATAGCTTGTGAGGAAGTAACAGGCGGGAGCCGCTGTTGCTGTAAACCAGGGGCCAGGGGCACAATTTGTTCACATCTCGCTTTCCCTTGGAAAGAAAAAGGGTGCGAGCCCCAGGAGAAATACGGCAATTGAATAATATGATATTTACGGTGCAGAGGGGTACCCGCCCTCTTCGTCTTCGATCGTGCCCCCCTTGGGGTCTAGCTTCCTTACCTGCGCGCGCAATCGGTGCAGCCCCTGAAGCAGGGGAAGAGAAGACATATGGAAAAGGGAGAGAGAGAAGGATGGAGCCGCGGCGTCGGAATAAATTGCGAGGAAGCCCCACGCGACAGCGCGAGTCCTGCATATCTTGTGGGGATGCCCCGCGCGAGACCGCGATTTTGGAAGAACCTGTGACGAACCATCCGGCGGGAGCCATTGTTGTTGTAAGTCGGCGGCTAGGGGCCTAGTTTGGTGCCCCCTCGTTCTCTCGGGTTAAAAACAACAAGGTGCGAGCTCTGGCAGGAGCACTTTTATTGGAAAACACCATGTGCCTTGGAGGGGGGATCAACTATAACTACTCCTGAGATGCGAGAGCTCAACAACAACAGCAACAACAACAACCACAACAACAATCAGTTTAAAACTGTTCGATCTGATCTGCTCGAAAATAATTCAACGTGTATTTCCTAAACCGTCGAAGCCCGCCCTCTTCGTCTTCGATCGTGCCCCTTTTGGGGGGTATATTTTTCTTCCTTGCAGGCAGGGCTCCGGCAAGCGGCGGGGCGGCCGCGGACCGTCCACCTGGCCAGCGGCAGCGCTGATCGGCGGCAGCCCGACCCCAAGAGGGACGGACAGGAAACCGACTATGACGACGACGACAACGACGACAACGACGATGAAGGCGACGACGACGACGACGACGACGACGACGACGACGACGACGACGACGACGGCGACGACGACGACGACGAGAAAAAGCGAGAGCGAGAGCGACAGCGGGGCCACGAAGGGCAGGAAGGGGGCCACAAAGGGCGATAGCGGGGCCACGAAGGGCATGCGTATGGGGCCGCGACGGGCGCGAACGAGCGGGGGCCATGAAGGGCAGATAATGCGGGGCAACAGAGGGCAACGACGGGGCCACTGAGGGTAGCAACGGGGCCATGTAGGACAGCGAGGGGGCCACAAAGTGCGACAGCGGGGCCACCAAGGGCATGCATATGGGGCCACGAAGGGCGCGAACGAGCGGGGGCCACGAAGGGCATACGTAGATTGGGCCGCAGAGAGCAAGGACGGGGCCACTGAGGGCAGCATCGGGGCAACAAAGGGCAGCGAGGGGGCCACAAAGGGCGACAGCGGAGCCACGAAACGCATGCATATGGGGCCACGAATGGCGCGATCGAGCGGGGGCCACGAAGGGCATACATATATGGTGCCACGAAAGGGGGCCACGAAGGGCAGCGAGGGCAGCGAGGGGGTCACGAAGGGCAGCGAGGGGGCCACGAAGGGGTGCAACGGGGCCACGAAGGGCAGCGAGGGCGCCACGAAGGGCGACAGCGGGGCCACGAGGGGCAGCGAGGGCGCCACGAAGGGCTGCAACGGGTCCACGTAGGGCAGCGAGGGGGCCACGAAAGGTTGCAACGGGGCCACGAAGGCAGCGAGGGTGCCACGAAGGGCTGCGACGGGTCTACGACGGGCAGAGCGGGGGCCATGAAGGGCTGCAACGGGGCCAAGAAGGGCAGCGAGGGCGCCACGAAGGGCTGCAACGGATCCACGAGGGCAGCGAGGGGGCCACGAAGGGCGACAACGGGGCCACGAAGGGCAGCGAGATCCCGATTTCTAAGTAAGCTGTGAGGGAGTCCTAAGCGTGAGCGCGACTCCTGGGTGCCTGAGTGTCGGGAGCGCGGCGCTTGAGTACACTGCGCGGAATTCCAACGCGAGAGCGCGATTCTTGAGTAAAGCAAATCTCCAGCGAGAGCGCGACTCCAGAGCGCCGAGAAAGCGATTCCAGAATAAAGAATAAGGAAATCCAGAGCGAGAGCGCGACTCCATAGTAAAATATGAAGAAATCTCAGGCAGGAACGGGGGTCCTGGCTAAATTGTGAGGAGGTCTCAGGCGGGAGCCGTTGTTGCTGGAACCTGGGGGCCAACAACCTAGTTTGAGCCGACTGACTTTCCCGGATAACAAAAAAACAGGGTGCGAGCCCCGGAGAAAGCACTTCAATCGAGAAAAACACACACGTCAACGGAGGGGGGGGGCAACAACAAGTGGCACGCGTGCCCTGGCTCTTGCAGAAAGAAGCTGCGAAGGACTGGGAAGCCTGGACGGAGGAAGGCTGGACGGAGAAAGGCTCCCAAGGGTGGGTGCTCAGGGGAGCTGGGGCCCAGGCTCAAGGGGGGGCCGAGGGAGGCAAACCACCACGAACCACGAACCACGACGAACCGGACGGAGCAAGCCTCCAAAGGGAAGGTGGCCCAGGGGAGCTGGGGCTCAGGCTCAGGGGAGGGGCCGAGGGGGACGAACCACCACGAGCCACGAACCACGACGAAAAGAAAGGGTTCCGCGGCCCAGGGGGGCTGCCCTGGGAAGCCTGGACGGAGGGGGGGTCCCAAGGGGGGCTGGTCCAGGGGAGCTGGGGCTCAGGCTCAGGGGCAGGACCGAGGGGGACGAATCACGACGAACCACGAACCACGACGAAAATAAGGATGTCCGCGGCCCAAGGGGGCTGTCCCGGGAAGCCCAGACGGAGCAAGCCTCCAAAGGGAAGGTGGCCCAGGGGAGCTGGGGCTCAGGCTCAGGGGAGGGGCCGAGGGGGACGAACCACCAGGAGCCACGAACCACGACGAAAAGAAAGGGTTCCGCGGCCCAGGGGGGCTGCCCTGGGAAGCCTGGACGGAAGGGGGGGCCCCAAGGGGAGGTGGCCCAGGAGAGCTGGGGCCCAGGCTCAGGGGAGGGGCTGGACGGAGGGGGGTACCAAGGGACGGAGGGGGGGGGCCAAGGAGGGTGCACCAGGGGAGCTGGGGAGCCTGGACGGAGGAAGGCTCCCAAGGGGGGGTGGTCCAGGGGAGCTGGGGCTCAAGCTCGGGGGGGGGGCGAGGGGGACGAACCACCACGACGAACCACCACGACGAAAAGAAAGGGTTCGGCGGCCCAGGGGGGCTGCCCTGGGAAGCCTGGACGGAAGAGAGGTCCCAAGGGGGGGTGGTCCAGGGGAGCTGGGGCTCAGGCTCAGGGGAGGGGCCGGGGGGGACGAACCACCACAACGAAAATGAAGGGTTCGGCGGCCCAGGGGTCACTGTCCCCGAAGCGCGTTGCCAAAACTTCTGGTGGGCCTGGGACACACAATAAATAAGTTAGGTTCGCGCACCCGAAGCAATAATCTGTTGTCTGGTGTAAACTACGAAAGGGGCACGTAAACCACGGCAGGTTCACGCGACTCATGCCAAATTCGCGCTACCGAGGGCCAGGATCATGTGTAAAGTGCGACAGAATCGCGCTCCCCGAGTCCAGAATCCAAAGACAACTACACGAAATTTGCGCTCCGAGGCCAGAATCTTGTGCACTTTACCCCAGATTCGCGCCCCCCGGGGCGACGATCCCTTGGAGATGACGCCAGCTTCGCGCCCCCGAGGCCATGATCCCTTCTAAGTGACGTCGCGATGACAAGCCGTCCTCGCATGAGGTTCCGACATTGCTTCAAGTCGGCGCCCATACATCCTAAGATAGTCCTGGCATGTTCCACTCTCATAGCTAAGGAGCTGGCGGCAAAAAGCGAAGCCCTCACGGCTGAGGAGCGCAAAGAGCGTTCCTGGCAACGGCGAGCCTTGGCCACGAAGATGCGCCCCCAGCCTCAACCTGAGGACCGGCCCGACAGGTAAGGACGCTCCTGAGCCCAAGGCGGTCCTCACTTCAGCGCCTTGGCACTGCACTGCTGAAGAAGTAGGACGCTGCAGCACATCACGTTGGAACGAGTAGCACGCACACATTGGAAGACGACGCGCGCGTCGTCGATGCCCTCTATCCATCCCGAGCTCGGGGGTGGAGGTGCGGCGGCAGCGGACCGGCCACGGGCAGGTCGACGTGACATCAGACCGACCGCATGGCGAGAGGAACCGGGGCACGGTAAGTACAAGCGATACAAGAGACCGTGTTATAAGACATCTAGGGGCACACTCAACGTCGGTCAAGGGCCTTCCTGAGATGCTCAAGGGCTTCTGCCGGTCAGAGAGGCCATCAGGGGATATGAGATTTCCAGCCGTTGTCTTACCAGATGTGCCTACTATAGCTGCAGCCAAGCGGGCGACCCAGGTATGGCTGGCCAAAGAAACTTGTGCCAGTTTACTGGCCACGTGCGAACGCTGGGCCAGCCTCGCGGGTACAGCCCCATGCGTGGCATCGTTCCTGAAGCCCTGGATCCAAGAATGTTGACATCTGTTGGGGGCGCATGTCTTACTCTTGCCGCCGAAACCGCCCTCGTTTTGCTTCCGCCAGCTTCCGCCGGCCGTCCTCTGAGAGAGAGAGAGAGAGAGAAAGAAAAAATGAGAGAGAGAGAGAGAAGTCAAGTCCTTCGACCCTCCAAAGCGAAAGACCTCCCTGGAACACCGCCACATGTCAACGATCCCCCCTCCCCCCAAGGGCCGGGCTGGCCTCTGGTTGATCGGGAACTTGATGCCGTCCACCTCTAGCAGTGGCGTCGACGTCGCCGCACGTGGCCTCGCGCGCAGGCAGATGTACCTCGGGCTCGGCACTTGGCCGAGGGGGGCGCATCTGGGTCTGGGCCTGCGCTTACGGCGGAGGCTTTCGATAAGGATACCTTCGATGAGGAACCCAGGGTCTCACGACCGATGGGCGGCCAAACGTGGGCCGCCCACCTCGCCTTGAAACAATAAGGAATGCGCCAGGGTCTGGGCCCCAGGAAGGCGTTCCTTATCCAATGCCGCCGCCGTAGTCGATCTGCTCTTACAGGTCGCGCAAGCAGACTGGGAGGGAGGGGACCTGAACAGTCGCCCAAAGCAGCCGCCAAAAGCACTCAAGATCTAGTCCTTGGTGGGGGGAAGGGGGGGGGGCGGGATCCCGCGCCGACCAGAGGGAACAATGAATAAGAACACGGCTACTTGCCGTCGTCGTCGTCGTTGTCGCAGCAGCCGCGGCCGCCGTCGTCGTCTGTCCGCGGCCATCGGCAGCCGCCGGCTGCCATCTTCGGCCTTCGGTGGGCCGGGCCGCGGTGCGGAGGGCGGCGGGGGCTGCTTCGTCGTCGTGGCGCAGTCGCCGTCGCCGTGGTCGTCGTCGTTTCATGAGCGTGGGCTTCCGGAAACCTTTTTTGGACCCGAGGGTCGTACCAAAGGCACACCGGAGCGAAACACCAGTCCAGTGGATGGAGATCGTGAGCTCTGTGGCCAGGAAAGCAGGAACACAAAAGCTAAAGCTTGTGACAGCGGAGGCGGGGAGTCCCTTTTCTGCGCTGTTGTCCAGCAAAGGGCGCTCTGTGTTCATGCCAACGATCTCGCCATCGTCGTCTCGGTGGACGACGGGGAGGATGTTGAACTTCGATCGGAGCTGGTCCTGGACAGGATGCAGCGGAAGGGAGGCAGAGAAGGGTAGGCCTGATCGTGCATCGGCTGTTGTCGTTTTGCCACCGAGCTAGGCCGATACATTCACATCATGCACACGTGAGGCCTACTGATGCTGAGCCTGCATAGACGCCACGCCGGCGAGAGACATCGCCCCCCTGTACCATCTAACTGCGTATGCACGACGGTGTGCCCCCCCCTGAGCGGTAGAGTTCCAGGTGCTGTCTTGCAGGATTCTCGGGGGTACTCTATATGCCCCCCACTCCTACCCTCCCCCCCCCCACTCCCCCTTGCGTGCATCGAGCACCCCTCCCCGGTGCAAGGGGGAGCCCAAGCCCCAGGCAAAGAGGTCTCGAGGTCGACCCAAGAGAAGGCCTCAAGACTGCCCAAAAGAGGCCTCCGAGGTGGCCCAAGAGGGTTCCAAGAGGACTCCCATGAGCCCAAGAGGCCCTCCAGAGGCAAGTCTCATGGGGCTTTGTTCAGCGTCTTAACAAGTCGAGTTCTCGGCATCCTGGTCCTCAAAGCGTCCAAGACGGCTAAAGAAGCCCAAGGTTTTGGCCAAGACCGCTCCAAAGAGCAACATGAGGACCCCATGACTGCCCAAAAGAGCCCCGAGACGGTACTAAGGGACCCAAAATGACAGGTCCCCAAACGGCCCAGAGAGGCCCCCATATAATGTATGCTTAAGAATACATGATACAGCTCACGCGCGCAATATCATTTAACATCGAAACTGGAAGTCGGATCGAATCGGAATGTACGGAACCGAAATCTGATCGGAACGGCTGCGGCAAAATGCACAACAACGCCGTGCAGCTATGCAAGCATCATCCCGCATTGGATCGTCGGAAAATCGAAACCGGATCCGATCGACATGGAGGGAAACAATACTGATTCTGGCCGAAATGGACCCTGCGCGTGACATCATGGTTGACTAGCGGCGGGAAACGACATGCGGGAAACAACTGCTTCTCGCACGCTGAGGTCCCAATCTGCCCTGTTGAAGTCGAGCTCGATGGTCTTGAACGTCCGCGCGCTGTCTGTGACGGACTTCACCTTAGCCAACGTGTAACGAGATAGCTTCGACTGCAACTTGCACACCCGGGTCATGCCGCATCGCGCCTTTCGTCCAACAAAACTCTGGCACTTTTCGAAATGTTAGCCGCCGTGTGTATACGCTGAACTGGGCGACCAGCGACTACCGAGCGACCGCTGAAGATGGTCAACAAAAACATGCGCACCAGGGGAAGAGAAGAACGGGGCGGGTCGAGACACAATTTGCGACTGATGGGAAGCGCGCGGGACACGCTGAGGGATGTAAAGGGGCAAAGAGGAGGAAGGGAAAGCAACGATCGAGTGAAAGAGCAACGGTTGATTGAAAGTCGGCGCTGCAAGTGCTCGACGGGCGAGCCCTTCCTCAGGATCACGAGCCAAGCTGCACGTGGGCCAAGGAGTATGCGCAAGCACGCCAGAAGGAAGGCTGTAGCCTTGTTTTCGAGAGCAAGACTGAACAACGGATGCCTGGACAATCGTGCTACATGATGTATGTTGCGCGCTGATTGTTTGGGAAAGCTAGCGGGGAAATGTACCAGAGCCTCCCCCTTCATCCCCTGCTGCTGCCCCTCTCCCCCCAGATACTAGCAAGGCACAGCGCTCCATGCGCTGACTTGCATCGCCGACTCAGAACACACGGAGGACCATCTGCGGCATTTGAGACAACACAGTCAGGCGACTGCTACAGCTACTTGGCGATGAACGTGAGTCTTCGCACCCGCGCCGAGACAGCGTGTAACCGGGTCGCCGCACACTGCCCCTGGCTGGTCCGGGGGACTCCAGATCTGTACACTGCGGAACAGAGCGTAGCAGAGCACGACGGGGATGCCGTTCGTTGCGGTCTGGCGGGAGCTACGGAACTCCAAGCGCGCACGCGCGATCGACCCCATGCTGGCTTGTGGCATGTCGATTCCTCCTCGGGGGGCTGCTCGTGGCGGGCTCGAACATTTCTTCTGTTGCGCCACTCTGCCAAGTCGAGCCTGGCCGTCTTTGAACGTGGAGGGATAAGGGGAGGAGTGCCTGGAATAGAAGGCACAATCGAGTTCAGGGGGGGCCAAGAGAGCACGGCTCGGAACGGCGCGCGCCGTGGGAGGCACGACGAACCGAACCTTAGGGTAACCAATCATCTGGTGCCCTTCCTCGCTATATAGTTAGCAGGGCCCACGGACGAGCGCATAGCTGGCTGGCGAACGCCTTTGATTCAAAACGTAGATGGGCGACGGAAGTAATTCTATCAGTCTAGGACTCGAGCAGGAGGAAAGGGCATGAAAAACGAAGGGAGGGGGGGGGGCGAGAAAGAGAAGCACAATTGAGAGACAACAGGAGAGATGGGCAGGAGATAATTGGCGAGGTGGGTAGGCAAGAAACAGGAGGGGGACCCGAAGGGACACCCCGCAGCTCCGCCAGAGGTCCCTGCGCGGACGCGCGGTCGGCAGAGGCCCGTGCCGTGGGCCTACTGGCACGCCGCCCCAGCCGAGGGTGCGCTTGCACAGCGGCCCCCTCGACCCACGCAAGCTCCACGGCGCTCCCCGCCGCGATCCGGTCCAAACATCCCACGGCGAGCTCGGGCGGGCGCGCGGACCACGTGTGCCCTCTGGCACTGCAGTGCCTGCTGCCGGGCTCAGTTGGAGGCACCCTTCTGGAAATGCCTTGAGCTTGAGCCAGCTGGTTCATCGCTCTCGCAAGCTCCGACGCTCGAAGGGTAACAGAGCCTCGCGGCCCTCATTGCCGGCCCCTTCTCGACGTCATGCACGGCTGATCTGGTGCGGCGCCTCGGCCTGCCACCTGTGCTGCCGCTCTGCCGACCAGTGCTCCTCGTCTGCGCTCCGAGGCCCACTGTTGCCTGTGAAGGAACTGCCCGCCCCGTCTCCACTGGCTCAGGGAACTGCTCTCCCCCCCCCCCTCTCTGGGCCGCGGCCGCGACGGCCACCATCCCTGGGCCAAGGGGGGTTGATGGTGGCCCGCACTCGATCGTGGTGGTGCGGGCTTCGCTGCCGTTCTGGCCCGTGGTGGTCCTCTGAGCCTTGACCTGCCCCGCGTCCCGCGAGGCACCGTGCCTCCGCGACGGTCGAGAGAACCTTCAGGGCGAGCGCTCGGGGCGGCTCTTCCTCCCCCCCATACAGTCGACCCGTATCATAAGGATGCACGATAAGGATGCAAGGGCCTTGGAAGGCCATTTCGAAGCTTTTCGAGCGGGGCGCGGCCAGCGAAAGTGGCCAAGGATGGACCGAGGAGGCAAGGATGCAAGGGTTAGCCCATCCTTGGGGGCGTCTGGGAAGAGCTTCCCGCGCAGGCCATTGCGGCCCTCGGACTCCAGGAGTGCCTGGTGCAGAGTCCTACAGCAGTGCTGGCAGGTTGCTCGAGGGCGGTGCTCGTATGTTCTCGTGCCGCCGAAACTGGGATCGAGACCAATGATCGCTTAGGAGATCTGCGCCAACGCCCTGGCCGTTTCTGAAAAGAGACCTGGGCCGAGTCAGCACTGGAGGGCGAGCGGGCTCAAGAGCCAGGCGCAGCGTTCCGAGAAGTTGGTGAAGAAACGATGGTCCGGCTTCTCAGGAGGAGGTCTCCGAATCATATGCTCGACCGCATTTCCATGCCATGGCAACCTCTTCCATGGTGGCCGGGCCACACTAGAGCCCTTCTCCTGCCCGCTCTTGCCCCCCTCCCCCACGTCGGGCGAGGGGGGAAGGGGATGGGGAGGAGGGGGTGACGGTGGCGGTGACGGTGCCCGCAACAGAGTCCACGCGAGGGGACTAAGCGGGGCGGGGCCAGAGCGCACGAAAAGACAAATAATCTGAAGCGACAGGGAAGGGTCTCACGGCGAGCAGCTTCATTCATGAGGTGCAAAAACTATTCTCCAGCTCATTCCACTTTGGTGTTCTGGCCACGTCGATCCATTCATCTGTCAGACGAGGGCTTCTGGTGGGTGACGGGGGACGTACACCCCGCGGGCCAGCGGAGCAGGAGCGGCGGGAGAGCCCGGACTCGAGTCGAGAAGTCGGATCGGCGATCGAGAGGCATCGGGTCGGCGGACAGCGGCGGCCGAGTCGGGAGAAGCCGCACCGGCGGAGACTGGCGAGCCAGGAGGCCGCCGCTGGGAGATCGGAGGCCCCCATCGGCATCCGAAGCCGAAGCGAATCGGAATCGGCGCCGGTCGAAGTCGGAGCGACCCGAAGCCGGAGGGATCGAAAGGAGCCCTGGAGAGGCGGGAGGCGCCCCGGAAGCGGTGCCCCGCCCTGGCGCCCGCGCGCGGTGCAGGCAGGCGGGCATGGCAGGCACGGCGGCTGGCCCGGGGACGAAGGCTGCACCCGCCGTGCCCACAGAGTCGGCGGTGGACAAGCCTCCCGTCAGTCATCCACCCTTTAGTGAAGGCGACCTGGGACCGAAACCGGCGGACCTGGACCCGCAAGAATGGCGGCCGCGACGCCCTCTCTCGCGAACCGAGCACGGCCGTTTCGCTCATCGACGCGTCAGGGCAGGAGGTCTACCAACCTCCGACGGAGGGCACCTCAGCGGCTGGCTCCGGGGCCCAGTCCACATCCGCGGGGGCCCGCAGCACGAGGTCCGCCTGCGGCCGCTTTGGAGGCGCAGTGCGCCAGCAGGCGGTGTAGGCGCGAGGTCCGACCTGCAGCGCAGCGATCGCGGACACGCGCGCGGCAAGGACCCGAGGCAACTTCGTCCGCAGGATGCGCCCCATCCGAAGCCTAGCACGAGCAAAGGCCAGCAGAACGGATCGTCCAGAATCCTCAGGCACGCTGTACAACCAGTTGGGCCAGAGCGCCCCATGGCAGGACACAGGGGACCAGAGCACGGCGTCAGGGCTTCGTGAGCGGGGGTTTCGCTAAACGGGGGCAACAGCTGTCTCATCTGCCCCCGTTTACCGTGCCCCCGTCTACGACGCCCTGGGCCCCCGACGTAAACGGGGACATCGCCAAACGCGGGAATCGGCGTTCCCCGTGCCCCCGTTTGCGGTGCCCCCGTCTGCGGTGCCCCCGGTCTCTGGCGCCCTGGGCCCCCTACGTAAACGGGGACATCGCCAAACGCGGGAATCGGCGTTCCCCGTGCCCCCGTTGGCGGTGCCCCCGTCTGCCGTGCCCCCGTCTGCTCTGGCGCCCTGGCAGGTGCTCCGCACCTCGGGCCGGGCGGGGGGGGGCGATCCGCAGTGCGAAGCGTCAGCGCCCCAGGGCGCCTCCGGGAGCCGCGGAGGGGAAGGGGGGAGGGGGAGAGGGGAAGGGAAGGGGGAGGGGGAGGGGGAGAGGGAAGGGGAAGGGGGAGAGGCCTGAGAGGTGACGAGGGGGATGAGCAGAGGGGGCCCATTGCAGGAGGCAGAGAGGCAGCGGGCGCGGGAAGAGGGAGGAGGAAGACGGGGGAGGGGATCCCACGAGGGAGGAGGCAGGCGGGGCGGAGAAATGGAGGGGACGACGAAGACAAAGACTCCGACGACCACGTCGCGGCAGCGGCGAGCAGCGAGCGCCGATCACCGGAGAAGAAAGCACGAATCACACATAAACTTCCAGAGGTCCCCGCGGATTCCTTGGGTTCGGCGCTCGGCCCCCCTCCCTGGCGCGCGGAGCGGGCCAACCGAGGCGCTAAAACCGCCGACTAAGGGCTCCAGCGCCGAGCCATGAAAGTCGACAGGACCTCCGGAATATCATATAAGATCATGTTTGCAATCGTCGGGTCTTCGTGGCCACATCGAACTTGCACCACGCAGCGGTCCCCCGACCCAGTTCACAGGAACGGCCCCAAAGCCAGAGCCCAAACGGAGCCCGAAGCGGTCCTTACTTCTGTGCCCTGATGGTCTGTCGCTTCGAAGCGTAAAAAACGACACGAACATGAATTGTTCGAGCTCCGTGCGAGGATCCGGAAGTTTATGGTTGTGGTTTTCTCTTTGCGAACTTGTACAGATGTCGAGTGCAGTGGCGCAGGTTTCCTCAATCGACTTATGTGGGGGATGCTTTCTGTCAGTGCTAGAATTTCAACGCCCTAAATGTGCGTCGACTTTTACTCCTCCCAATTGGATCGGTGCGGGCGCGAACCTGGCACGTGTTCCTGCTCCGCGCGGGCTTCCGGCCGTACGGCATGGCGGGCGCGGCGGCAGCCGCGGGGGCCCCGGCCTCGGCGCCGGGGGGGGGGGGCGAGAGTGGTGGGTGAGGAGGTTCTTCCTTGGAGGCTTGGACATGGGCCCAGGCATCATCAGCACCGGCCGCATCCCCGCCCGCGAGCGCCCGGGCAGCAGCGTCCTCACGCCCCCGACGGCTCCCGCGGCGGCCCACGCCCGCACACGAGCCGCAAAGCCGCGACTCTGGGCCCGCGGGCGCTCGCCCGGCGCCGTGCCACCTGGGAGGCCACCGTCCCTCGGTGGAGGCACGCCGCCGACGTCGGCCAAAGTGCGCCCACCTCTCGGCCTCCCACCTCCTGCCGGGGCTCGGAGGGCGGCTCGGGGGGGGGGGGGGCTTCCGCAGGAACGACAAGAGCCCACCAGGCACGACTCCTCCTCCTCCTCCTCCTCCTCCTCCTCCTCCTCCCCCTCCTCCCCCCCCTCCTCCCCTCCTCCCCCTCCTCCTCCTACTCCTCCTCCTCCTCCTCCTCCTCCTCCCCCTCCTCCTCCTCCTCCTCCTTCTCCTTCTCCTCCTCCTCCTCCTCCTCCTCCTGCAGGGCCTCACGCCTTCTGCCGCCGCTGCCTCGCACGCGAGCCTCCACGAGGTCTCCAGCCTTACCCAAACATCCCTGGAGTCGCCTACCGTAGGAACTCGATCACAAGAAACCTTCCACGAGAAACCCAACCCTGAGACTCCAGGACGTCCATGGATTTGTGGTGTGGGAACGTCATGCGCTCCATCACAAACTCATCGAAACCCAAGAACACCGGGGCACCATAGAGGCAAGCAAGGTGTTTTATTGGCGTAGGCTTCCACTGTAAGCCGGACTGGCCCACGTGAAGCCCCGTACTAGGCGGGGTTGAACGGGACTCGACGGAACTAACTGGGACTATGCCTGGTTTGGCCCATCTTTCGACCACGCAGCGCCGATGCTGACCCTGACCTCAGAGGGCAGGAGAGCCCAAAATCAGATCGACAAGTCGGATCGGCGATCGACGTGAATCGGATCGGCGATGATCGGTAGCCGAGTCGGGAGAAGTCGAATCGGCGGAAATCAGCGGGCTAGTAGGCCTCCAGTGAGGAATCGGATCCCAAATCGGAATCCAAAGTCGAATCGGATCGGAATCGAAAGCCATCGAATTCGAATCGAATGGAATCGGGGGAATCGAAACGAGCCCTCAAAGCGCGTCTTCGGACGTTCTCGGGGGCTTGGCTCGGGCGGCCCCCGACGGCGTCCGCAGAAGAGGCCTCTCGAGCAGGATCGGGGGCAGGAAGGAGCTTACCGTAAATGGGCCCTGGAGCACACAAATCAATAGACACAAATCCGGGGTTTCCCAATATTTTCCAATATTTTCTAGGTCTTCGTCTCCCCCCCTGCTTCCCATACTTTCCCATATTTTTCAGGGAATCGACGATTAGTTGTGTCTGTGTGTTTTTCCCCTCCTGATACTGGCAGACCCTCTGCAGTGGTTGCGTGCCCTTGGCGAACAGTGCCCCGCTGACGCAAGACATTGGTCAAACACCAAGGCGGAGGTAAACTTTGGGCACTTCAGAAAACACATCTCCCGATGAAGCGGATCTGGCCGCCCAAACGAGCTGAGGAGCGCATCAGCAGCTGCGCTGCTGGGATCAGCGCGTACGCGAATAAGACAATGCCAACATTGGCACCAAGCTTTGGCTGCCAACATGGAGGTCGCGGTAGCCTCACATCTGCTGCAAAGCAGGGACCAGCTTCTTCGAAAGGCAGGCAGTGGAAGCATATGCCATTGCCGATCGTGGGAGGTGCAACTCGCCTGCAAAGTGGGGGCGCTCGTCTCAGCTACACCGAGGGGATCCGTTCGCGCGATGCGGCAGGCGGCGACAGAAGTCGCTGCCAGTGCTGGAAGGGGGCTGGTGGTACAATACCATCAGGGATCAGCTCGTGCGGAAGGGCACAGCGGCAACACATGGTACTTCAGACCTTCAGAATTGCTCTTGCGGGAGCCGAGCGGCAGCTGCCACGCAGGGGTCAGGTCGTGCGAGACGGCGGGCAGTGGCAACGTCGGGGCTGCACGCAGGTCGACCGCGGTGGCCACATGCGAGCAACAACGAAACGACCAGCCGTACGAGAAGGACGCTCGCAGGAAAAAACATCCGCTAGAGTGCAAGAGGCGAAGGCGTTGGCAGCAGGAACTAGCAGTGCACGAAGCGCTTCCGTGGGAAACGCATCTCGACTACAATGCACGGAAAAACGATGCGAAGAGGAACGCGGTGGGGGCAGGCTTGCGCGCTACCGCAGGGGCCATCGTGGGCGAGGCTCGCGTGCTACACTGCTGGGGCCAGCTCGTGCGAAAAGGCAGCTGCCACGAGGGCGACCACGGGGACCTCGCCTCGGCTGCAGTGCAGGCAGGGCAAACTCGTGCGAGAAGGGCGCTCTTGGGGGGGGGGCCGGCCGGCGACCCCCAGCTGCAGTGGAGGCACTGGGGCCACACCTTAGCCGCGGGGCTGCGTGGGGCAGCTCGCGCCACAAGATGGCAGAGGCAAGCGCCGACAAAGCACCGCGCTGAGACCAACGCGCGGGAGCTGCAGACGGCACGCGCGCGCGCGGAATGGCAGAGGGGCGCTGGCTTTGGAAGCATCATGTTGGCCCTCGTGCGAAGCGGGGCAGAGGCTCAGCCGCGAACGGTCTGTGGCCTGGCCAGGGGGACAGGCCGGGCGGCTCTCCAGGTGGCCAAAAACGGGCTCCAAGGCCCGCTCGCAAGTCGCTCACTACATCGCCACACTCCCGCTACGGACTCCTCCTCCGCCCACTCTTCCTCCTCCTCCTCCTCCTGCTCTTCCTCCTCCTCCTTCTCCTCCTCCTCCTCCTCTATGACGGCGGCGGCGAACACGACCAGCAAGCGCGGCGGCGGCGGCAGCCCTTGACATCCGACACGTTAGGAGGCAACTGCTGCGCCCGCGCCCAAGCAGGTGCGCGCGCGCGTCAGCCGAAGACGACGCCGAAGGCGCTGCTCACGGTCTCACCAACTGACGACGACTCGGAATGGGCCAGGAACGTCAGGCCGAAAGCGTCGTCCAGGTCGAACGCCTTAACGAGGTCAGAAGAGCCGAGCACAACCATGTTGCCAGGGAAGTAGTACACCGCCCCCGCCCCGCGGTCCGCCACGTAGACGCTTCCATCCTTGTCGTACGCGCAGCCGCGCGGCTTCGATAGCCCGGACGAAACAACCGCCACGTCGCCTCCTGACTTTTTCACTCCGTACAAGTTATGACTGGAGTCGGTGTAGAACACGTTGTTGAGGGCGAGGCACACGCCGTAGCATTTCTGAGCGTTCTTCCCGAGCACCACGACGGACTCCTCCTCCCGCGGCTCTGGCAGCGGCACCTCCGACGCCTTCACCACCACCCCCGACGACGTGCCGAAGCGCTTGTTGGTCCAGTACACGTACATGTTGTCTGCGGCCACGCCCCCAGGCGCATTCACCTTCTGAGGGGCAACGATCGGGGGGGACTGGCACAGGGGGGGATGCATCGACCTGGAATCGGCGATACACCGCCTGTAGCTCAGCGAGGGGCCTCCGATAGTGAATCCGCACCTTCCTGGGCAGGCTTGAGCTATCAGGCCCCTATCGACGATCAATGTGCGATTGGGGGTCGATGCATCCCCCCCCTGTGTCCATCCCCCCCTACCGTTGCCCCCGACCTTCTCCGCCGAGCTGCCGCCGTAGTACAGCACGGACGCCTCGCCGCCCTGCTCCCCGCTCCGCCGCTGCTCCGGCGGCGCCCAGGCGATCCTCCAGATCTGGCTCTCCGCCTCGTCGGAGAAGAGCACGTTGCCGTTGGTGTCCACCGCCACCCAGCGGGACTCGAGCCCGCGGACGACGCGGTCCGGCGGGGTCACCGCGTGTAGCCTGCCGCCGTCCACCTCGAGCCGGTAGCTCCAGATCGTCTGGTTGTCGGGGTCGGCGACGACCTATGACCAGCCCCGCACTCATCCCTACCCCCAGGATCGGCAAGCCCAGCACTGGGGTAAGGTGATGCCACACATAGGGATGGGGATACACGTCGTTCATTTCTAATCGTGCTCGTTTGAAATTGTTCCTGGTCCCCTAGTGGCCACGAAGAGGCCCAGGACAGAACAAATAGAAATGAAAAGATCCTGGCCCCCCACAAAAACAAAAGACCTTCGAAGAATTATAAATGAACAGTGTGTATGTTTCCAGCTGGTAACGACCAGCCGCTTGTGCTTCTGGTCCACGGCGACGCCCTGCGGGTGCAGCAGCGCCCCGCCCTCCAAGAGCGTCTGGGGCGCCAGCCTCGCGGCGCCGCCGGGCGGGCCGTCCGGCAACCTCACCCAGGAGATCCTGGCGTTGCGCGGCGACGAGACGATGATGGTGGGCTTGTTTTCCAACGCCACCACCATCAGTAGGGGGGGACGGGGACCTCCTCCCCCTCTTCTTCTTCTTCTTCCTCCTCCTCCTCCTCCTCCTCCTCCTCCTCCTCCTCCCCCTCCTCCTCCTCCCCCTCCTCCTCGTCCTCCACCTCCTTCCCCCCTCCAACTTATCGCGGTGGTGGTGGAGAACAGGCCCATCAGATGAGGAAGCCGCGGGTGCCCGCGTCGGCGCCCCCGCACAGCAGGGCGCACGTCAGCAGCGCCCGGGCGCAGGGGCGCGGCGGCCACCCCAAGCAGGGGCGGCACATCCTAAGCGGTCCGCGGCTTCATTCTGCGGGTGCGAGGGGGGCGCTCGGAGACTCGAGCCGCCTCGAGCAAAATGGTTACGGATTGGGAGGCAACTGCTGGAAGGTCTTCGTCGGAAAGAGGGTTCAGCCCCATTGGGGGGCTGCTGCGCCCAATGAGGCCGCGGAGCAGGCGGATTGGACGGGATTGAACCGTACTACCCAGACCCCCGACGTCATCATTTTTTCATTACGTCGACCCCTGGAGGTCTCGACCCATTCCCCATTTTCCTGGACCGATTTTTGGGCGCAGCGTGTTTCCCTGAGCGTCGAAAGCGCGATTTCTGAATAAATTGCTTGGAAGTCACAGGCGAGAGCGCAATTCCGAAATAGAATGTGAAGGGTTCTCTGGCGGGAGCGGGGGTCTTGATTACATTGCGAGGAAGTCTTGACTCAATTGCGAGGAAGTCTCAAGCGGGAGCGCCGTTCCCGAGTAAATTGAGAGGAAGTCTCAGATGGGAGCGGGGGTCCTGACTAGATTGCGAGGAAGTCACAGGCGGCAGCACCAATCCTGAGTAAATTGTTTGGAATTCTGAAGCGGGAGCGGGGGTCCTGAGTAAATTTGGAAGAAGTCTCAAGCGGGAGCCGTTGTTGTTGTAACCCGGGAGGCCAGGGGCCCAGTTTGAGCACCCAGATCTTCCCTGTCAAAAAACAGGGTGCGAACGTCGAGGGGCACATATTGATTGAGAACAAACGGCATGCACCGGTGAGGGGGGATCAGTAACAATTATTCTTCAGAAGCGAGAATTCAACAACAGCAACAACAACAACAGCATCAACAACGGCAACAACAACAGCAGCAGCAGCAACAACAACAACAGCACCATCACCACCACCAGTACCACCACCACCACCAACAACAGCACCATCACCAGCCCCAGTGCCACCACCAACAACATCAACAACAGCAACAACAACAGCATCATCATCAACAACAACAGCACCCAAACCACCACCAACAACAACAGCAACAACAACAGCATAACCAACATCAACAACAACAACAGCATCAACAACATCAACAATAACAACAACAATAACAACAACAACAACAGCAACAACAACAACACCAACACCAACACCAACACCAACACCACCACCACCACCACCACCACCACCACCACCACCACCACCAACAACAACAACAACAACAACAACAATCACAACAACAATAACAACAACAACAACAACAACAACAACAACAACAACAACAACAACAACAACAACAACAACAACAACAACAACAACAACGAAGCTCGAATACGTCTGGAAGCGGCCGCGCCGACGGCGGCGCCGGCCGGCGCGGCGGGCGCCTGCGCGGCCGGTCCGCGGAGCGCGCGCGCGCCCGCCCGCGCCGCCGCCCGCCCGGCGCGTCCCAGGGCGGGCGCTGCGCGGGAGGGGTCGTCGGGGGGGGGGGGGGGGCGAAAGGAGGGGGGGGGGGAGGGGAGGGAGGGGGGGGGCAAGGAGAAAGGGGAGGGAGGGAAGGAGGGGGGGGAGGGGGGGGGGGAGGGCGGGAGGGAGGGAAGGAGGGAGGGGAGGGAAAGAGGGAGGGAGGGGACGGGGAGGGGATGGAGGGAGATAGGGGAGGGAGGGGGGAGGCGTCGTCGAGGGGGAAGCGTCGTCGAGGGGGAGGGGGAGGGGGAGGGAGGAGCCCGGGCCCCTTTGCAGCACCGAGCAAAAACCACGGCGGGAGGTGTTTCGCCGTCGTCGGCCTCTGGGCGACGATCCCACCATGGGGCCAAGTGGCGTCGCCGTCGAGGGGGGGGGAGGGACAAGGGGGGAGGAGGACCCTGAGATCCGGGCGTTGCAACTGTTCCACGGCGGGCGTGTTCTCCCAGCTTCGGGAGCTGGGACCCTCGCAGATCGATCCGGCTCGAAGGATGCCGCGTAAAGATCGGGTCTGGGGCTCTGGTGGTGATTCTTGTTCGGTGTCGCAATTTTCGTGCAACGTCGGATCCCAGGGCCGCGCGTCGGGACCGTCAAAACACGACTCGGGATGAAGAGCCGGTCCCGGGGAAGGGGTCGAAACCTTTGGGAGTCGACGTTGTGAAAAAGTCGTGGCGTCGGGGGTCTGGGAGTAGCTACTCCCAAAAACCCCCGACGTCATAATTGAGATCCCTCTCTAGAGACCCAGGCCCCCCACGTCATGTTTTTTTATGACGTGACCTCCAGGGGCCTTTGACCCCTTCCCAGGAACCAGTGATTCTTCCAGAGGTTTTTTTCGACGGCCCCAAGGCCCTGGAAGGCCCCCCGGAGGCCGAGAGTAGTGAAGTAGTGAAAAACCGCCCGTCCTGACTTTTTCATGACCCGAGGGGTGTGTGGGGAGGGAGCCCAAGCCTCCAGCGCAGGATAACCTGGCAACATGCGCAAATGGTTTGCAGCTTCCCGCCTCCGTCGCTGGGCCGCAGGACCGGCCCCTGACCAAAAACCGAGACTGCTCGAGAGGAACAGCAGGTCCTGAGGAAAGGTGTTGAACCCAGACCCCCTCGCGGTGTGAGGGTCTGGAAGTCGTGGACGTGCTCGCCTGGCTGCGGGCCCCGGACCATCACAGATCCACCCAGCTCGAAAAACAATTCAGAACAGGTGGGGTCTAGGACTCCAATCGTGATTTTCGCGACTCTGCAGCTTTTGGCAACGTCTGATCTCAGGGGAGGGTGGATCAGTAGAGAGGATCTCGCCGCATCGAGGATGCATGGGCGGCCCAGACATGCGCGTCGCAAGAGAAATCGTAACGGGAATCCCCGTCAATCCCCCACCCCCCTCGCCAGGCGCCCAAGGGAACCCAGAATGAACTAATCAAAAAAGGAGGTTAACGGCAAATTAGTGGACGTTTGCGGGGGGTGGGCAGGACATCCGACCCTCGGACCCTCAGGACATTCGCGGTACTTTCTTGGGGAGCCTCTGCGTCCCATGACTGCCTCTCGGGAAGGTGTCCCACCTGGGGCCAAGTGGCGTCGTCGTCGAAAGGTGCAGAGGGAGGGGGAGCACCCTGATATCCAAGCGCTGCACATGTTTTAAACACCAAGCATTTTTTCGCCCAGCTTCGAGGCCCGAGACCTTGCAGATCGATATGGCTTCGAAAATGATGCAGAAAGTCTGGGGTCCGGGGCTCCCGAGGTGTTTTGTGCGATGTTGCAAATTTCTGCAACGTCAGATGTGAGGGCACCCGGACCCCTTTGCGTCGTCAAACAAAAATCACGGCTGGAGGTCCGCTCTTATTGGCCTCTGGGAGCCCTCATTGAAACTCAGGATGAAACGCTGGTCCCAGGGAAGGGGTCCAGTCCTCTGGGGGTCAACGTTATGATATATTCATGACGTCGGGGGCCCGGGGAGGAGGGAGGGAGGATGAGTAGAGAGGATCGCGCCGCATCGCCGATACATCGCCGGCGCTGCATCGGCGCCGTCGGCTGATGGAGAAAATGGAGCCCCACATCCAACCGGACCGCCGATTCGGCGCGATCCTCCGACCTTGTCTATGCGGACCCCATCTTGGAGGCCAGACAGGCTCGCGATGAGGAACCAGCTCCGAGGGAAGGACGTCGAGTCTTCTGGGGGCACGTCGGGAAACTAGAAGGGCATCGGATGTCTGGGGGAGGAAAATGGTGGAGGAGAGAGAGAGCGAGAGAGAGAGAGAAAGGGAGAAAGAGAGAGAGTGAGAGAGGGAGAGAGTGGGAGAAGAGGAGGATGAGGAGGACGAGAAGGACAAGGAGGAAAAGGAAGAGGAGGAAGAAGAGGAGGAGGAGGAGGAGGAGAGCGCGCAGGCTGGCGGACGGGGCGGTTTCGTGTCCGCGCCGCCCGTCGGCGCCCGCCGCGCGCGCCCCGCGCGCACGGGCGGGCAGGCGGCCGCCCGCCCCACGGGCGGCTGCCGGGGGCCGCCATCTCCGTCGCGCAGATGTCGGCGAGCCAGTGGCCCTTCACGGCGTACAAGTCCCCGACGCAGTAGCGGCGGCAGACAGGCGCCACGGAGAGGGCACATCCTCGTAGATGTCCTCTCCACCGCACGCGGCTCCGCCGACGGCGTGCTCAGCGGTGGCTCTGCCCAAGGTTCCCGACGACCCCCGCGGGGCCCGCCAGGCCCCATGAGCTCGCCGAAGGAGGCCACGCCGCCGCACCCGGTGGACATCTCCAGCTCGTCGCTCCCGTCGGGTTCCTCCAGCACATCGCAGTCGTCGTGCACCTCGCCGCTCACGATGGGCTCCTACGTCTCGTCGCAGCCGTCCTCCGCTAGATTGGCCTCCAGCGCGCTGCCCACGGTGTGCACTGCCCGCGCGCCGAGGTCGCCACTGAGGCGCTGCTCGAGCGGGTCGGTCTCCCTGACCACTCTGACGGGGTCGCCCCAGAACTGTAGCTTGACTGGATCTTTGCCCTTCCGCATGTTGTTCCGTCTTGTGCGCGAGTTCTCGTTCGACGGAACTCCTGTGTACTCGTCTCGCAGAAGCGCCGCCTGGCCCCCGCCGCTCCGCGCCCCGCAACCGTCTCAGAGCACCCACATGCCGAGATCATGAGCTGATACGTCGGGTGGGCGTCCTCGACCGCCTTTGGCTGCCCTCTGCAGAAGCCCGAGCTCAGGTCCTCTGGCGTCCTGGCCTTGGCTCCGCAACGATCGTACCCGTACTTGTACTTGGCCGCCTCGCCTGGCCACTGTGGCTGGTGCCTGACCGCCTCGGCCCGCCCGTCCGTGTCATCAGGTATGCACAGCTGGGGCCCGACCCCGCGCTGAATCCTGGCTGAGACTCGCCTGCCGTGCTGCTCATCGCGGGCGCGGCCGCGATCAGCGATGGCAGCGGCGCTCTTTGCTGCCAGACGCGCCTCGGACTCCCTCGCCCTCCAGCCGTCGCTACGCCTCGGACCGGCGTCGATCCAGTCGTAGAAATTCTGGACCTGCGCTGGCCTGACGACGGGCTCGCTGCTGGCTGCTCGCTTCGACGGAAGGCCAAGACGCCCCCGACGGCTTGAGCCGACCTTGGGTTCCCGCAACTAGCGTCGGCAGAGGGGTTCCCACAGCTTGCGTCGAACTTGGGGTTCCCACAGCTTGCGTCGGCAAGGAGGTTCCCGGAGCTTGCGTCGGCCTTGAGGGTCGCAGAAAAAGCTGGGCCTCCAGCTCCTAGCAGCGGCTTCACAAGCACGGAGAGCGGCTCGTCGTCGATGTCGGGCTCGAGGGTCCTGCTAGCACTTCCCCCTGAACACGGTGTCGACATGGGCGCCGAACTCGCTCGGGTCCAGGCAACTATGTGTCCACCAGCTGCATAGGCCTGGTCGCCTCGACGCTTGTGGCCGTGCTGCCGACGCTCGGCTGCAACCTCTACCACCATGTTGGCCTCTACCGCCTTCCGACGCCTGGAGCTCGGGCCAGCTCCGTCGCCTCCTGGGGCTTGGTCACCCGATCCACCTCGCTTGCGGTTCGCCCTTGGCGCCGTGGCATCCTCCACTGCATCGCCAGGGCCAGCGCCCGCTGCTGCGCCAGCTGTCGCCACTGCCACTGCGGCCGCTGCTGCCAATGCCGCTGCTCCTCCTCTGGCCTTGCTGCCGCTGCTGTCGGGGTGAGGGCCCTGCGCCATCCTCTTCTGGACCTTCGCCTTGCCAGCCAGGTCCTCGTGCCTGCTCGCCGCGGTCCGCGCATGGCGCCCTGAAGAGTCCCTTGGCTCGGTGTTGGCCAGCGCTCCGACTTGGACGACCTAGCCAGCCATCCATGTCGAGCTGCTTCTTGTGCTGCTCCACCTCGTACGGCCAGCTTCTGGGATGGCATTGCGCGCCGAGCTTGGCCTCGGAGTCCGCTGCCTTGGTCGCCAGCGCCAGCCGCCTCTCCACGGTGCCGTAGCCCAGCCTGGACTTCGCCTGGTGGGCCTTCACCTTCCTGAAGTGGCTCTGGTCCTTGCCGATGTCCACGATGAGCCACCAGGTTCGTCTCCACTGCTCCGCATAGGCACTCGTGGCCGGGCAGCACGCCACGGGCCACAGGGCCTGCCTCGATGCCATCCAGCCAGTTCTGGTAGTCGCTGTAGATGGTAAAAAAGGAGGGACGGCATGGTGCATCATGACCTCGGCCGCGAAGAGCTCCCCTTCGCCAACCTCCTGTAGCCACCCAGGAGAAGAGCCGTGGCAGGCGCCAGTCGCAAGCCCGAAATGGTCGACCGAGGCGCATCCGAAACCCACGCGCAGATCGCCGGCCTCCGTGAGGTTCATCCCTGAGCCGTCCACGAAGCCGTCCCCCGCGAAGACCCCGCCAGGGATGGCGACCGACCGCACAACCTGCCCCAGTGCCGCTTGGGCGCGGGGCTGGTCCGCCAGTTTGGCAGTAGGCACCTCCCCCAAAACATCTCCTGGATGGCGTTGAGCGTGCCGCTGGCGAAGCGCGCGTGGCCGATCTCGCTCTCGCGTCGCTGCCTGCACCAGGCCACGCAAGCGCCGTGGCGGTGCGGTAGAGTCCTAGGAGCCTCCCCGGCCGATCTCGCTCTCGCGTCGCTGCCTGCACCAGGCCACGCAAGCGCCGTGGCGGTGCGGCAGAGTCCTAGGAGCCTCCCCGCACTTCGTGCGGGTGGGGGGTCGCCGGCCAGGCTGGCCTCGAAAAACTTCGCTTGCGGCCACTGACCCCCAACCACGGTCGAACGGAAGCATGCCGTCTCCTTCTTGAGCCCTTGGCGCAGGAGGCTGCCGATGACCCGCTGGATCGGGCCGATGTGGATGCCGTCGCGAAGGTGCCCCATGCCGTCGTGCGCCGCCGCCTGCTGGAACTGCCACCTGGTCAAGTCACCGCCACCTGGATGAGACCCTTGACCGCTCTGGGCGCGATGCTCTCCGCCAGGTCCAGCTCCGCACCGTCGTGCGTGATCCACGTCGTGGCTGATGTGGCCTGCCACCCGATGCGCCTGAGGGTGGCGAGCATGGCCCCCGCTGGCCCGACCACCGGCTCCCGTGGCGTAGCTTTGCTGGCCTGGACCTTGGTGGCCTGGTCCAGCGCACTCGGGAGGATGGACGTCGGGACCTGTCTGGTCCAGACGGCGCGCACCCACTCCACCAGCGGCATGCGGATGATCAGCTGGGCTGGATCAGGAGGAGGAGGAAGAGGAGGAGGAGGAGAAGGAGGAGGAGGAGGAGTAAGAGGAGGAGGGCAGAGAGAGGATAAGGGCCTCCTCCTCCTCCTCCTCCTCCTCCTCCTCCTCCTCCTCCTCCTACACCCCCCTCCGCCTCCGCCTCCTCGGGAAGCGAAGGCGGACGGGCAGGAGGAGGAGAATCGGGAAGGGGGAGGGGGTCGCAGGGGGAGGACGGGAAGGCAACTGCGGTTCTCGCCGTTCGGTCGTTCCCGCTCGTCTCTCCTTACCTCCTGGTTTTGTTGCCCCCGCCGGCGCTTCGGTGGAAGAGGTGCGAAGGCTGCGCTTGTTGAGACAATGGTCCGCAAAAAAAAGGAGGTACGGGGAGGAGGAGGAGGAGGAGGAGGAGGAGGAGGAGGAGGAGGAGGAGGAGGATGAGGATGAGGATGAGGACGAGGATGATGATGATGATGATGACGATGATGATGATGATGATGATGATGATGATGATGAGGAGGAGGAGGAGAGGAGGAGGAGGAGGAGGAGGAGGAGGGGAGAGAGATTGAGGAGGAGGAGGAGGAGGAGCAGGGGGGAGGAGGGGGAGGAAGTGACGTGCGGGGGAGGAGGGGAGGGGGGGGGAGGGGGGGGGAGGAGGGGGAGAAGGTGAAGGAGGGGAAGTGGAAGGAGGGTGCGAAGGGGAAGGGGGGGGAGGAAGGGAAGGATCAGTGGGGAGGAGCAGCAAGAGAGCGGGAGCAAGTGGACACGGAGAGGAAGAAGGAAGGAGCCGAGGCGCCATCATGCTGATACTGCTGCTCCAGCTGGTGCCGCTCTTGCTTAGAGGAATTAGCAGTGACATAAACATGAAACAATCGGAGGTCCGCGCGGATTCATCGGATCGGCACTGGGGCCCCCTGGCGGCGCCTGCGGCGCCGCCCCTGCGAAGGTCCGACGCCAACCCCAACAATTCGCGCGGACCTCTGAATTGTTATGTTTATGCCATTGCGTGTTCCACTGAGGACGGGGCCGAGGCGCTATCATGCTGGTGCTGGTGCTCCGGCTGCTGCCGCTCTTACTACCGCCCCCCTGCTCAAGCTTTTCCCTTACCGAATGCTTCTGTCCCTGATCAGCTCTCGTTTCTCCTTCCTACAGTCAAAGCGGATAGCAAGGACGCGCGGTAATGAAGGATGCAAGGTCCTTGGACCTTCCAAATCGGACGTCCGTGGACGTGGAAAATTACAAAGGATTGGCCCGAGAGGCAGTGATGCCGGGATACCCTTGCTGACGTACTGCTTCCTTACTATGGGTTTTGACTGTAGACCCCCAATGTCGCGTGCTCTTCATACAGCAATGCCTGTAAATCATGTACGCGTTGCCCCTGAAAATCTGTATCCCTTCCGCGGGATCAACTTTGCATCTTGATGATGTTGTGTTTCGCAGCGTGGTACCTCTGCCCGGAACGTATATTCATCGTAAACTGAAGGGCAACGGGAAGGGGGGGACTGGCATAGGGGGGACATCGACCTGGAATCGGCGATACATCGCCGGTAAATCTGCGATGCGCCCGCGATAGCGACTCCGAACGGACCTGGGCAGGTTGGGACTATCGGGCCCCTATCGGCGATCAATGGGCGACTCGGGTCGAGGCACCCCCACTATGCCTATCCCCTTCCATCGTTGCCCCGGATGAATCGTTTGTCTAATGTCCTGGGGCCCGATAAAGGCTCCCAGATATCAAAACTTGCCCCAAACCGTCCGTCGCATCTCGTTCACGACGCAAATGGGTGGGTTTCTTCTTAATCCCATTGAAGCGTTTCAACACGGGAACCTACCTCTTCTGCGCAAGAGGCACGGTCATCTGGCGCTGTCGAGCTCCAGAGGTTCTTCACGCGGTCCTCCTCCTCCTCCTCCTCCTCCTCTTCCTCCTCCTCCTCCGCCCCCTCATCATTGCCGGCGGTTCCCTGGCGGGTCCCCCAGGTCCCTTGGCTTCTCAGGATTCTCTGCGTTGCTGAAAACTGCTTGGAATTACAGCGCAATGCGAGTGCCCTGCGTTGCATAGCTGCGTATTGTTTTGCATTGGCTCGTATCGTAATCAATCGTATTCCAATGCGTTGCATGCCATCGCTTTGAAATGGTTTGAACTGATGCGTAATGCTTCGCGATTGTTTGCGTTGCGTTAGACTGCGTTACCACTGTCATTGTCTCTGGCTTGCGCCGCGAAGCCTTGTATTGAAGGGCAACTGGGACACACTGCAGTTTGTTTAGCATCGCACGTTCAATGTAAGGCTTCGCCTCCAAGCGTATTGAGGACGTGCGCATCCTTGAACTGCATGCATATAATTCGCATAAGTTTGGCAGCCCGTGGTCTTCGATGTTTCCTCCTCCTCACCCTCTTTCTCTTTCTCCTGTCTCTCCTCTTCCTCTTTCTCTTCCTGATACTCCTCCTCCTCCGCCTCCTCTTCCCTCCTCCTCCTCTTTCTCCTCCTCCGCTTTCTCCTCCTTATCATCCCTCCTGCTCCTCCCTGCGACCCCTATTCCTCCTCCTCCTGTCTCGATCGTCCTCGTCGCGCCTCCTCCTCGACCCCACCTCTTTTCGAACCTTTCTCTGCCCCTCCTCCCCTTCGTGCTCCTCCTCCTCCTCCTCCTCCTCCTCCTCCTCCTCCACCCCCTCCTCTTCAGCCCGGGGGCGCCCGAGTGGGTCCCCACCCCCGTCACACAGGGGGACCCCCGGGCATTGGGGTCGGGGTCCCGGGTCTCGCCGCCACGCCGGGACTCCCCTCGGAGCCGGCCACGAGCGCCTGGCGCCCCCCTTCGGAGCCGGCCACAAGCTGCCCTGCTGGAGCCCCCCTGCTGGGGCGGAGAGGCGAGGAGGCAGGAGGGAGGGCAGAGGCGAAGGGGGAGGAGGGGAGAAGGCGGCGCAGGAGGCAGTAGCCCGGCGTGCCGCGCTCAGTGTGCGCCCAGTTCCAGCTAGCGGCCTGGCCCCGGCCAGTAGTCAGTCTGGCGCCGCCGCCTGGGCGAGCCGCTCCCCGCGGCGTCAAGCCAGCCCGGCTGCTCGGCGGCGCTGCAGCGCCAGCTGAGCCTGCACGGCGCAGCTGATGGCCTTGTAGGCCCGCGTCAGCTCGACGGGCTGCTGGTCCTCCGGCAGCGTGCGCACCTGCCGCAGAAGCCACCGTCGGGCTTCTCCGCCTAGGCGCCCCGGGGTTTCCACCACGAACGGCGTCAGTCTGTCCCCCGGGTACCTGGCGTGTTTCTGGCGCTCGCCTCTCCGGGCGGCCTCGCCAGGCCTGCGCGCCGCCGCCTGCGCCACGTCCTCGGCTGCCGGGTGGCGGACCGAAACATCGATCCAGTGGCGGCTGGCCCCGTCGCTGTACTCGACGTCCAGGATTGCGCGTTCGAGGAGGTCTGCGTCTGGCGGGTCTGCCGGCCGCCGGTTGCGGACACGGTCCCAGGCCGGCACCCGCTGCTCCGTCAGCGGCTCCTGGTGCAGCCAGCGGCGGACCAGGCCGGCCACCGCGTTTTCGAGGCTGCCGTGGCGGCGCTCCACACCGCCGCCCAGGGTGCAGGTGGCCGCGTGCGTGCCTTGCTCGTCCAGCGGCTGCCCGCAGGGCGCGCCGCGGGCTCCCTCGGCGGCAGGGCGGTCCTGGCAGGACTGCGCAGCCGTCTGGAGCTCTGCCTGCGCGCATTCAGGCCTGGAGCCCCGTGGCCCAGAGCGCGTCCTCCAGCGAGCAAGCGGGATCGCTCGGGTAACCGAGGAACCCCGCGGCCCCTGGCCCTCCGGCCCCCAGGAGCGTCGCCCGCTCGTGGCTGTGCAAACGCTGCCTCAGGGAAGCGTGGGTTTTCTTTTGCACAGCTTGCACGAGAGTGCTCTGCTTCGCCGGGTGCTGCAGGGCGTCCAGCAAGGAAGCGCCCGGGGCGGGGTCCGCGCCCTGGAGGGAGAGCTCCGTCCGCGCGTCGGAGAGGGCTTCGCCGAGTCGCGGCGCCGCCTCCAGGAGCTCGAGCAGGGAGTCGGTGCCGAGGTCCGCGGCCACGCTGGACACGCAGGCGGTCCAGCCGGCCCAGAAGGCCGCGGCTCGTCGTGTTGTCGCCCACTGCAGCCCCGCGCCAGAGAGCTTGAGGGGGAGGCCGAGGATCTCCCGCGCCGCGGCGTCCAGGGGCCTCCCTGCGAGCTCCTCCCAATAGCCCGCCAGAGTGGCGTCGTAGCGAGCCGCCTCCGCCTCGCCAGCCAGCTGCGCGCGCAGGACGTGCTGGCTCGCAGCGCCCGCGTAGGTGCGCAGCAAACTCCCAGTCGCCTGCAGCGAGAGGCCGTGCTCGCCAACCGTGCGCTTCCCAAGCGGTCGGAGGGCGTTCCAGGGCTGCGTCAAGCGCCCAGCGGACTGCTCAAGGCCGCTGTTCTGGCCCAGCTCGAAGGGCGCGTCGGCCACGTCGCCCCGCGCCCGCAGGTGTGCACCGAGCACGGGGAGTGCTGGCACGAAGTGCGCGCGTAGCTCTGGGGGCACAACCTGCGGCCCAGTCGGAGACCATACCTGCGTCTTTGCGGCGTTAAGCTCCAGCCCGAGGGGCTCCAGGAGCTCCCCCAGGCGGCGGAGGGCGGCCGTGGCGAGCCCCGCTGGGAGCACCAGGTAGGTGTCATCCAAGTAGGAGTAGAGTCTCACGTCTGGGTCCTGCTGCGAGAGCTCCTCCAGCAGCTGGGAGAGCGCCGCCCTCTGGCCGACCGAGAAGGCAGCTGGCGCCAGCGGGTCCCCCTGGTCAAAGCCGAGGGCGCTCTCGACTTCCTCGAAGTTGCCCGCTGCGTCCCGCCAGAGGTGCTTGGCAGACCCGGAGTACCACTTGTCAAGCACCCACGCGATCTCCGGCACGTGCACAGCCATGACCCTCCTCCTCCTCCTCCTCCTCCTCCTCCTCCTCCTCCTCCTCCTCCTCATCAGCGTCCGTCCTTCTCCTCCGCCTCGGCGTCGTCTTCAGCCGCAGCCTGCCCCTCCAGACGCGCGCCCTCCCCGCCGGCAGCACGATGCGCCCCGTGTAGATGCCGCCCTCGAAGTCGGTGCCGGGCGGCCCCCGGACCTGCGTCCGCGCCGGGCCGCGTCGCGTCGTTATCTTCGTCGTCGTCGTCATCGTCGTCGTCGCTGGTCGCTGGTCGTCGTCGCCAGGGGTTAGGCAGGAGGGGGAGGGCGGGAGTGGAGGAGGAGGAGAAAGGAGGTGGATGAGAAGGAGGAGGAGGAGGAGGAGGAGGAGGAGGAGGAGGAGGAGGAGGAGGAGGAGGAGGGAGGAGCAGCATTGGGGGGAGAGAGGAGGCGAAGGAAGAGGAGGAGGAGGAGGAGGCGGAGGAGGGTCACGAGGAGGGTCACGAGGAGGTGGAATAGGCGGAATGGGCGGGATGAGCACGCAAGTGCAATCAATCAGAAGAGGGGGAAGCGGTGGGTGGGGGGGCGTCCCAGGGCCATCCTGGGTGTCGCACTCGCGGCCGTCGTGGTGCAAGGTCGGGGCGGCGCGCGGAGGTCGCGCGCAACGGCGCGCAAGACCGCCCGCTCTCCCGACAGCGCACCCCACGACGACGACGACGACGACGACGACGACGACGACGACGACGACGACGACGGGACTCCTCCCTCCACCTCGCCCACTCCTTCCCTCATGCTCCCAACTCCCACTGGTGGGGTGAAATGGGGCAACTTCAAAATCAAGATGACACTTGAGTTTACTATCACAATCAAAACCATCAATATCATCAAACACGGGCTCAGGGAGCACAGAGAAACGGAAATACTCATCCAACTCTACCCGAGCATGCGCTCCATCGGTGGCTGCAGGGGCACGAGATGCAAGCGCGGACGCCTCCGCCGCTGCGACCGCCTTCGGCGGTCCACGATATAAGGGGAACGCTCCCCGACGGAGGCGGGACAGATTCTCGCGCCCCTTCCTGGCGGGCGGTTCGCACGGACGGGCCAACTGGCGGCCATCTACCGTGGCCGCGAATCCACGCGCAGCACAAAACTTCAAACGATACCGAGCCCATTCATGCAACGAGCGGCTCCCGTGGAACCTAACGCCCCCAACCTCGCACGCCCCCCGCACGGGCGATATTCCGTCACCAGTGAACCGCGCAAGAGACGCAGGGACGGAGGGTTCGGGCTCCTGGGCCGAGGTAGGGCAGACAGACGAGGCGAAGGCAAACAGCCTCGCTCGAGGCACAATCTGCTGGCACTTGGAGCACCTCCACCGATTGCTGCAACGGAGGAGGGAGCGCGACGAGGAGTCTATCACCATACCAAGCCGAGATCTACGCTTAGTCCTAGGCTGGGATTGTCGCCAACCAAACTCAGGGGCAGCCTGCAAAGTGCCAATGGGCGCTCTCCTGGTACGGAGACGGACCAAGAGGGCAATGGCGTCATGTCGATCAGTAAGCGGAATCGGGTGACGAATAGCAGTGCCCCACCCCCTCCTCGCGGCCCACCCCGCCCAGACGTCAGCAAAAGCGTTGCCGCGAGAGAGGAAAGCCTGGAAGGGGATGGTGATGCGGTTAGGCTCGGCCCCCAGATGAGAGACAGTCCAGGCGACATCCACAGGCCCAGGGCCCCGTTTCTGCGCAGCCTGCCGCACTCGCACCCAGAGGTCCGCGTTGCGGCCAAAGGGGCGTTGAGCGCGGCCAGCCCGCAAACCATCAACCACAGGCTTACAATCGCAAACATATGCGATATTGCCCACCGAATTCTCAAGACCCAGGGCCAGCGCCAGGAGATCAGGTCGGGGCGCAGTCTGACGGCGGCCCGGGAGGCAGGCGGCCACGCCGCAGACGGGGATCCACATGGCCACCGAAGGGCCCCCGTCCAAGGCACGACGCATGACCACCACGGCTGCTCCGCAGCGCCTCCGACGCTCATCAGAGCTGCGCTCTCCCCCAGACCCATCCCCAAACAGATAAAGGGGGGGGGGGTCCATCAGGGGCCGAGAGCTCCTTTAGCAAGCACTGCCCGAGGACTACTGGGCATCCAAAGCCAGGGCCTTCAACAAATTCAGGAACCGCGAGACTCGCTAAGGTCAGGCCTCTCAACCAGAATGACGGATCAGAACCAGCTTTGGCCAACGCCTGAGGGATCAAGGCGTCAGCGGACGCGTCGTCTGGATGCGAGCAATTTTTTGGGCGCCCCCAAATGCGGTGGCGCAGCGTCTCTGGCGCAGCGCGGCAGCGGGCACAGGTGAGGTCGGCTTCGTTTCCAGAATATACCTGCCTCTGCTGCGCCCACTGGCCACCTGGGATGACTGTGACACTCGCGCCCCGCAAGTCCATGGCGCCTTTCTTGGCGAAGGCATCCAATTCACGCTGTGCGACATGCAGGTCCGCCCCGTGGGCGAGTTGGTCACCATCAGGGCGCCGTGGAGCCGTCGTCCAGGACGCGGCGCGGCAACCGACCTCAAAATCCAAGAGGAGCTCGCTGAAATCCTCCAGGACGGTTTCGCTGTACCCGTCCTCGCCGAAGGAGAAACAGGTCGTCCACGGGCCCCTCGGCGCCGCCGGTGCGACGCCAACGGGCGGCCTCCAGGGGCCCCCAGCCTGCCTGTAACGCAAGGTAGCTTACAGCGCGGCAATGGGCCCACGGACGCCTCGCCATCTAACACGATCGCCCAGTCCAGCACGCGCGCGAGGCCAAACCCGAGCAATCCGAGCGTGTATGTAGGGACGCGCAAGCCACATCCTGAACCACTCTGTGAGAACATCACGCCGAAGCTGAAGAGACGGATCGGCCGTGCCGAGAGTCGCCTGGAGCACCGTCTGCAAGCGACGTCCACGCATGTGCCCAGCAGTGGCCACCGACGACTGCACGCGCAACTGCGTGACCGTGGACGGCGGCACGCCGAGCGCCCGGTGACCGTAGGTCGCCGAGGGGAGAAACCCCCGCGCGCCACAAGCCATTGGCCACCTTGTGGCTGCCAGCGAGCCGCCGCATCTTCTGGATCTTGCCGCGCCGAAAAGAGGCGCGCGCAATCCGAGCTCTTGAAGTTGGGTCGAGCACGACGGCGAGCAGCAGCGGCAGCCACTCCCAAGTCGACCGCCGACTTGGTGAAGGAGACGGGGATGCCCACCTGCTGGAGGTCAGACTCCAACTCCTCCCCCAAGGCGTCGTCGCTGGCAACCAGCTTGGTCTCGTCAGAGACCGCCAGGCGATTCAGCCCAAATGAGGACGCCAGAGACTTGACGGCGACGCGCATGTCGCCGATGACGGTCGCACGAGCTCCTTCAGCCCTGCAGACTGCGTCGTCCATGAAGGTCACCAGCCCCGCTCGGGGGCACAGGACGTGAACCTCCTGCAAGAGCCCATGGAACATCACTTTCGCCTTGTCTGCCCCTCTGGGGGGGCCAGCAACAATCAACTTGCTTGGCTCAAGGGCCAAGCTCACCATCGCGGCGCGCTTGATGAGGCGAGGCGCCGCATACATGCCGATCTCCAGCACCGCGATGACGGCAGGATAGCGGAGGGAACGACCCGCCTTCATCAGCAGCACGTGACTGATCGAGTCGTAGAACTTCTGCAAGTCCAAGAAGAGAGCGGCGCATGATACGCCGAGCTCTCGACCTCATTCGTCCAAGATGGCCCTGGCAAGCGCGGCGCGCAAAGCCGAGGGCCCCGCAATCGCTGTGCCCCAAAAGGCCCTCTGTTTCTCTGCCTACGAGAAGGACGGCGCAGAGCGCATCCTGCTCCGCAGCTTGGCTGCGCGGGGCACGAAGCCCAGCACCCGGTGGCCGCCGGCCTCCTTGGGGACGGAGGCGCCAAGCACTGTAGAGATCTCCTCGGGCCACGCCCCTTGCAGCTCAATGTCGTTAAGTAAGTTAACCAAAGCACGCCGACCAGCATCGGGCAGACGTATAATATCATTAGGCACAGGCGCGTCGACGCCAGGGGCCATGCCAGACGGCATTGCCCTGAGAGTGGCCGTGAGGTGTTCCAGCTCCAAGGGCGGCAAGGCCTCCTCGATGGCGTCGGCGCGCATGAGGAGGACGTGGAGGAGAAGGGCGAGGATGGGGGGGTGAGGGGGAGAAGGAGGAGGGCCAGTGCAAACCCAAGACTCCTCAACGATGCTGCAACGAAGCCTCCCGCCACATGCTCGAGGAGATATGCTTCAACATCCTCAACCGGTCCAAAACACCAGTTCAGGGACTTCAGCGCCACGAATCAAAGTGTCTTTCGCGCCCTGGCGATCTTGGATCGGGCCAGAGCACAATGACTTCAACGCCGCGAAGCAACGTGAGTGTTGCGCCCTGGTGATCTTACATCGTGCCGAAACACCGTTTCGGGTGCGTCAACGATTACAAAACACTCAGGGCGGCTGTAATCTCATACTCGAGAGTGTGCGGAGCCCAAAATAGATCCACGCTCTGATAAGAACCCGCCCTCCATCCGTGATGCTCTTGCAAACTAGTGCGACGATTCTGGCGGAAGTTTCGCGGATGCGTGAGGAAAGCGTATATTGGGGCTCTTTTTCCTCCAACACAGCTCGAACAAAAGGGCCTGCGGGCATGCTGCGAATTGACGGCGCCCGAATCACTCAAGATCCTGAACACGCCGCCTGGCCGAGCGGGGGCGGGTGGCGAGCCCGTCCTCCTCGGACACCCCTCGGGTCACCACTCCGTCCAGGGTCCTAGAGAGCGAAACTTAAAACCCGCAGTGCCTCGACGCGTAGCCGCGGAGGTCTAGACTCGCGCCCATTGCGCATCTAAACAGTACTCGGCTCAAGGCCCTACTCGGACCACGCCCATTTGTCTCTCGGCCCCAAAGGCAGAAAACGGGGGCTGGTCGTCCACCAGGTATACTTGACCTGGCTCTGGGTGGCAACCGCCCTTCTGCAGTCGCCCTTCCTAGTCTTGATCTTCACTGCTGGCTCGCTCGATCCCTCGATCGGGGCGCGCTGTGGCCCCCCGCCGTCGCCGCCGCGCGGCAGGGCCCCCGCCCGGCACCAACTCGGCCTCACACACCGGCACAACCAGCAAGCCAAGGAACGCACACGCAATGCAAGCAGGAGCCCCAGGCCCACGCCCACCATCAGCACAGTCAGGCTCGCGTAGTAGC